GACAAATAAAGTTTTCTCAGATCCGTATTTTATTATATTCCTCAAAAATAATTTATGAATATTTTTTACCTGAAGTAATTCAGGCATCATAGAGTTTATATGTCAAAATTGCCTAAAATTATTAAACATCTCACAAAAAGCCGATCCAAAATATCTGGCAACTCTTTATCAGAGGAAAACACCGCACTTCTTGCAGTTGCTATTATACCTGAAGTGAAAGTGAGGTTCGTCGATGTGCTCTTGTTCCGGAGCGGAATTTTCGGTCCGCATCAAACGTTTACGGTCACTCCATATTTGGAAGGACCTCTTTACTGGGGCGTGGCTTTTACAACAAACTTGCCTGCAGTACAGAATTTTACGGCGCTATGAATCATGAACTTTTCATTGGTGCATAATGCGTAACATTCATGTTTGTTTTCTGCATGAAATATTGGGATACATTCTGAATTTGAAATTATAAAAATTACTTTTGATCATTTCGGTCAGTAGCTTTAAAATAATATATATAGTAAAATATCTGTATATCTCTTCCCTGACTTTCAAAAATGATCAACTTCAAAAGTGGGAACAATTTTTTGTAGTTGTCTCCTATAATTTACTAATCGAGCATTGCAATTTTCAATATCCATTTTCTTTCAATAGTATTATAGAGGAAGCTGCGAAATATCTTGCTTCAATTAAATTATCAGTTTGTAGCTATAGATTTTCAAAGGACTTTTCTACTTTCGCTCTATGCAACTAAAGGTTTGAAAGCATGACAAGCATCAGACAATCCGGAGTTCATAATCTTTTTTGTAAGGTGGCATATTTCATGTGTGAACTTTCATCTTGTATTCAAGATTTTCGAATTGCCTATAAAAATATTTTTCGATCTGTGTGTGGGAGCCTCTTTTTTAAAACGTTATTTATCTTTTTATATCATCTCAATTTATCGTTATATCATCTTAGGTATAACATATCTTTATATTATTGGTTAATAATAAAATCAGGTTGACACTCGTTATCCCTCTCAAAAATAAAATGTTTAGTCCTTTTGACACAGTATCGGATAAATATCAAAAGCATAGTAGTGAATACTCTATGATTTCTACATAATCACCCTCGTTAAGTGTCTCATTCACAAATGTAATCATTGTAATTAACCCCTGTTGTGACGTAAACCGGCAAACCGAAAAATATTAATTAAAAACTATATCTCTGATATAAAAAAAATTGGTTTGAAATAATAGTTTTAATCTTAGAAGAATGTTTTCACTCTAATAACTCGAGTCGTTTGGCTCCGTCTTTTATTTGCCGGATAACCTTTTTATTAAATGAACAATTAAAGAAATGACGAACTTCATTTCCGAGGAAATATTAATAAATATTATTCTGCCGACCAATGGAAGTACAACTTTAAATAAATATCCCTAGTCGCTTATTTACTGAGTGCTTCCATGACGAAGCACGTGTTTTTTTACAGTAAATTTGAAGGTTATAATCACTTTTATCAATTATCTTCGTATATTGTACGAATGCAGTTTTATTTTCTTCGAGTATACGGTACACATTTTCTTGTTATCTACAAATCCTGAAAGCACCATCATGGCACGAAGAAAACTTCCACCTAAAATGCTGTCATGAGGAATGATGAAAGAGTTATCTCAAAAAGCAAACTCTTCAACAGTACAAATATAAATACTCATTCATAACGCACGTACAGCACTGAAAGTCGCAATTTCTTAGTTTTTAATAATGCGAAATTTATGCGAGCGACCAAATACAATGACGTCACTCGTCAATGCAGATTAATCTCGATTGATAATTTCTATACACAAATTTTGGCACAGGAAATACTGTAAACCTCTGACATTCACCAGTGGTCGTCCGAGAATATAGAGATCTGGAGTCAACTTAGGAAGAGCTAACTAAGGGCCCCATACACGCGTCGTATTCGATTAATGGACATTAAGAGCATCTCATCCACCAGAGATGGCTAACGCAACGGTCTCAAATCTCGTTCCAAGATAAGAACTAGAGAACTAGGAATGCGTCAGGTACGCGAATGGGCGCGCACGTCTTGAGAGAGAGTAAACTCACGAACTGAATAAGTGAAAGGACCGAACTGCTTATTCAGCTTGCAAATTATTACGAGAAAGAATGAATCTAAGCCACGGATGGATTTGTCGCATTTCACGCTCGAGAGGCTCCATTGTTATCTAAGCAGCACACGTGGCCCTGCCTGCACTCTCTCCGCGCCCAGCCAATTCGTCTCAAGTTCAATATTCGCTCGCACGAGGTTGGCGGTTCACGATTGTGATCAAGCGCGGGGCTATTTAATTTTTAGCTATATGCGTTTGAGGATATAGCAGCTTTGTCATTCTTATTTTTACTTTTTTATATCAAGCATTTAAATTTATTATTTCCTCAGAGCTTTATTGAAAACCAATGACACTGCAAATTGGACTAGTTTGTGTGATTTTATGGCTCAGTACTTATAATCTCAGGAAACTGCCCACACCCACAGCTGAGCTGAAGTCTTGTAAGGCCTGCACCTTGTTTATTTATTGGACCGGCATAGGTTAAGCGGCTTGAAAAATGAACTTTGGCTAGACCCATTGCTTTAAACCTCACATTTGATTAGGTGTAGATTTCGGATAGATTTGGTAGAAGTCGGAGAAATATATCATTTAGACATGCATAATGACTGAGCCACCGACAAACTGAAAATGTATAATTAAAGATTCTGTACGTCGCATATTTTCGTCTCAAACTCTATGAGCCTTGATTGAATGTAAAATAAATTAGCTTTCTAATAATGAGCCCTAGTGCAAGGTTCTTGTAAGCTGTTTTTGGAAAATTCTTTTTCGCTTTCAGAATGGAAATGACAAAATTTTAAATTCCATGAAGAAATGAAGAATTTCAAAGTGTTAAGAGGGGCATTTTGAAAATTTCCAGCACAAAAATTTTCCCTTTACTATGCCAACGAATTTAAATTATAAAATGACCGGCTAGGCAACGTCACACTCTAGAAATGAAGACGTCGTTTCGTAATGTATTGGTTATGAGAGAGCGTTGTTCTCACAAGACATTGTCACATTGGCGGAGTCTTGCAGGTGCGACCAATCGTCCTCGCGAAAACTTTGCATTGTTACTCCAACATTGTACACCATCACAAACTAGGAAGAGATCAAATCACAAGCCTAGCGAATTTCGTGAAAATTTGAGGTCAAGTTCATTGTTATGAAATCACTTTCAGAGCCTTAGTTGTAATTCGAAGGCGTCTCCTGCAAATGCCCAAGTATGGGTACATAATATGAATCGGGCGACTGATTGCCTTCTGTGGCCGCGACACTATCATTACAATTGTTGTCATGCAGTATTATAAGCAGTGTTTTCTGTATTAAGTATTAATGCGTACTGCTCTCCAGAATTCATTTAACTTTATTTTAATCAAGTCAAGTTCAAGAGCAAACGCAGTGGGTGCACGCAAAACAAACATTAGCACAAGATCATACATTCATACATAGATACTAAAATCCCAGAAAATATATCATTGCCCTTTAAGAACCGAACTCAGCTCTAGATGGAAAATTCTTGAGCTACCTTAAAATAATTCAATGTAATAGCTAGGGTACATTATATTATCTTCAATATTTTTAATGGGATCAGAAAGGAAATTTTGTATGGTGAGTATGGTGAATGTACATCTATTATATTTTTGTTGTGGCAGCAAAAGCTTCAACACACCAACAACCTGACATTAAGAAGTATTTCGTCGAGATATAACATAAGCTAAATAAATTCCTGTATATTTTCAAACACGGTGTCGGAAGAAAACATTCTCAGAACAAAAGTGTTGTTTGTTCGAGATAAACTATTCTACACCCTCACTAGAATAAAAACCAGTCTTCCTCCATCGATAAATTAATTTTTTTTACTTTTCAATTCAAATCTTTTAGAATGTATAACTGACTAAACACAATAAATTTTAAATTGAAAAAATATCATGGAACATTTGATGGTAGCTTATAAATTCTAACACTTTATATGCGAATAATAAATTGCTCCAATATCTTCACATTTCGAGGAACAAAGATAATTTTATATAACTATTCGATGATGATATGATACCCTTAATTAAAAACACACGCATATCTATCATTTTGTTGTATTTCGTATAAAATTACTAACGAAAAAATATAACTCAGTACTTACTGCAGTGAGTGACAGAAAGCGCATTTTCTCGTCGACGAAACGTGAAGTCTCGGACGGGCAGACAGACGGACGGACGGACGGACGGAGACGGACGGACATGGCGAGCACAATAGTGCATTTTTTCCATAAATGAGAAAATGCGCTAAAAAAGAAAACAAAATGCTTTTCGACTTGTTTCGACCCGCATATAAATTCTTATTTTCTATACTAATTAAAATTTTATCGATGAGATATTCTCCACATCCAGAATACCAGGTTGATATCGTTCTCTATAGCAGGCCTGAACCTCATTAAATGGTGATGAAAAAATGTGAACTACGGGGAAAAATGAATATTTCATCAGAGTTTGTCGAAAATATCGGAAAATGCATGAAAAATGTCTGTTTTCATCTTCATGCATAATATACGAATATATGCCATGTATATATTTCGATGGTGTTCATAACGCCAAGCAAACCACTGGTCATACTAACAAAAACCTAATATTCTATACATATTTTGTAATATATATATAATATTAGAATTTTATAGAATTATTATAATATTAATTATACACATTTAATGACTATTTAAAATAATGAAATCAAAATCACACTCATCTCTGGCAGCAAAATAATATGCGACTAGAATCATCTAATGGAAAATTACAATTGCTGTTACCTATGGCCTTTAGGCAAGACTTAGCTCTGTAAAGGTTGACTTTGAATTTACGCCACACAGGACGCTGAGTTGCCAACTCGTTGCAGGCTTGCAGGCGGTTCAGTGGTTGTTCGTTGAACTGAGGGTCAGTCGCGTGTTGAGCGTTGAGCTGAGTGGACGTGTGCTGGGCTTGCTGAACCTGAGATCACTGAGCTGCCGGGTTTCGCGGTGTAGAATTTTAAGACATTCGATCGATAAATTCGTTTCGATCATAGAGCATCAGTGATAAAATAACATCCATCATGAACATGGTATCATGTGTGAATAATTTAATCAATATTGATTGAACTAGTCCAATTTTTAATACATACTATGCCTCCAAGAACAATCTGATGTAAAAACATTCACAACATTCCTCCAAATTAAAATCGCATATAAAAATAAGTTAAGAAGGACATTCCAAACAATGTACATTTCATCTCCCCTCGACCCGAGGACACATTCAGTCCCAAAAATCTTCGTCGTAATCATTGTACTGGCAGTCAACATGGGCCCCAGCGCGGGCCAGACGTCCGGCGAGGAGTTCACGCTGAGCATCCTACACGTCAACGACGTGCACGCGCGCTTTGAGCAGACCAACGTGTACTCGGGCCGCTGCACGCCCGGCGACGAGGAAAACAACCGGTGCTACGGCGGCTTCGCCAGGTCAGTGATAACAAGACCAGAGAACAACAGGTGCTACGGCGGCTTCGCCAGGTCAGTGATAACAAGACAAGAGAACAACAGGTGCTACGGCGGCTTCGCCAGGTCAGTGATAACAAGACCAGAGAACAACAGGTGCTACGGCGGCTTCGCCAGGTCAGTGATAACAAGACGAGGAGAATAACAGGTGTTACGGCGGCTTCGCCAGGTCAGTGATAACAAGACCAGAGAACAACAGGTGCTACGGCGGCTTTTACGGCGGCTTCGCCAGGTCAGTGATAACAAGACCAGAGAACAACAGGTGCTACGGCGGCTAACCCAGGTCAGTGATAAGTCTTTCAATCAAGGCAACTCATTCAGTTCTTCATCTCCGTAAAATAAGAGAGATAAAATAATTTCGTTAATGCTTGCGCATTACTAATTGAATTTATATATTAAAGAGTTTATACCGCAGGCATAAACTCTAATAAACTCTATATTTATTACCTTTTCTCTTTAGAAACTTTTCTCAGACCTAGTTTATGAAAATGCGGCAGTAATTAACATATTTCAGAAACGGTAGAATTCAGTAATTAAGATTATTTTTTAACGGTAGAATTCGAAATGTATAAATTTAATAATAAATTTCTACGAAATTATGGTTTAACAGCGAAGACGGTGATATTAGACAGTTATTTTATCTAATTAATGAATTATTGACCTGAGGAGATCTCATATATTTCGATGCTGTCGCGTAGAGTTGTGGCCAATCAAGGACCGCGTGGGTGGCTGAGCTATAATTCTACACCCGTAATTAAAAAAAATGCTACCATACGAATAACGTATGTACCAAGGACTACTACACACAGGACATGCATAGCCTATGTCCAGCCTCTGCTAGCAGAGGCGATCGCCTACACTATGAAAATGCTGTTGTTTTTTATTTAAATATTTTTTTTATCAGTGTATGAAGGCAGGAAAATGGTACCTACTTTGCTTAGTACAAAATTTTGAACTTCAAAACTGGCAAAAAGTCTATGGTTCTGACCAAGGACTACTACACACATTGTAATACTATTGTATGAAACAATTATGGGCATATCATTTGTTGATGCCACTAAAACACCAGCATTTTCATAGTGTAGGCGATCGCCTCTGCTAGCAGAGGCTGGACATAGGCTATGCATGTCCTGTGTGTAGTAGTCCTTGGTATGTACATAATTATGTAGCTCAACAGTATCATGCTTTCTTTCAGAATTATATAATTTTCGATAATTCTGATATCAGGCCCCTTCGTAGGTAAGGTGTCATCAAAGATAAAATTCATAGCAATATGCAAGCTCTACTATCTGACTATATTTTGCTGTAAATATCAACGTCAAATTCTGGTACGATGCGGCTGGAACATAACATTTTTAGGACTATTTCTCAGTCTCTATTAACATAACGACTATAATCCTACTTGCAGGAATTCGTACCAATTAATAGGCTCGCTTTAAATTAACAATAAGTTGATTCATATATTAATTGAGTGCAATGTTCTGTAAAGTGACGTTTCGTGGCAGTGTTATTGCTTTATAGGCGCTCGATACTGCACAGCTGCATGGAGGCTCAAAGCTGCTGTCAGTCGTGTCTTAAAATGCTGATTCTGCACATTCCTTGGAGAAAACAAGAATTCTGCGCGTCAATTAGAAAAACTGTTGAAACTCCATAACAAGTAGGCAAATGATTCCCACACACACCGGGAGTATTTCACTCATGAAACTCCGTTCAGCTGCTATTATCGGCTTGTCGTTTATGAAATAAACAAAGACTTTCCTGTTGACTGTATACTATTCGACATTCTCATCTATGTGCTTGTAACTCCCAAATTCTTATTATCGGAGAACAACATAAAAGACAGCAATTAAGATAGTAAATGCCATGAGACGCAAATGCATCTGAAATTCATTTATTAATGCTAAAATGTACGTTAATAAATTAAAATTTTGAAGAGATGTAATCCCAGGATTAAAGTGAAGCTAAAACCGACTAAGCGCAGCAGCTCCCATGAGGAGTTGGCAATACCCTAGGGGCGAAAAAGAAGTCTTATTTTCTATAACAGGCTATTGACTCACATTATTTGTGTATTTTATTTACCAATATAATGTATTAGAATTTTTACGGCTTTCACTGCGTGTGTAAACGCAATATTTCAAGCGTGCCGTATGGGTGCAGGCCCGGAAGTTTATTCAAGTCCCAAAAATATCAACATTAGATTTACATCTCGGTATTGACTCCATTCTGTTAACATTCAAGTGTAAACAAGGGCTAGTTGTTCGATGAATGTTGTAATTCAGGAGGGCGTGAATTGTTATTTATCGCAGCTTCATGCTGCATGTACCATTTACATGTCCAAAATAATTAACTACAATTATTCAGAATTCTGACTACATTTTCTAATTTGCTATTGCTAAAATCGTTAGAAATTCGAAAACCAAGAAAATTCGACTAAACTCCATAGTCTTCATAGAAAAAATTTCGGAGTCCAGCTCCATCGTCAGCTCGAAATTTCTAGAATGCAAGTTGTAACAAGTATACCTGCATTCTAGAATTTTTCGAACTCACGATGGAGACGGATTCTGAAACGTTTCCTGTATAGATATGATTAACTTTTGTGAAATTTTCTATGCATTTAAGTTTCTAGTAAATTTGCGATTCAAGCAAACGAGGGACATTAATATTTGCCAAAATCGTTAGTTAGCCATTTGGCAAGCGCCTGTTAGTTAGCCATTTGGCATATAATAAAATTATTACAGTACAATAACTGGAAGGTTGAAAATGACAAAAAGCTGCATGCCTACATGACTAAAAAATTAATTCTTCCATTTTCGTATTGCGGATTTCCTGGAATACATTGTTATGTATCGATATTTCCCGTTAAAATAATGTAAATTCGAGTAATTTCAATGCGGGAAATTGCGAAGTATTTGAACCGACCATTTCGTCTCAGTATTCTCCAAGATTTCCACTACAAGTTGGAAATAATACATAACAAATACATAACACTAACACACAAGCCCATATTTATTTTAATATGAATAGATTATAGAGTAAATGCCAAGATTTACTGTTTCGGCCAGTGTTTTTAAATATAAGAGCTCCATTCTGCGTATAAATTGCAAAATAGGCCCACAATGAATTTGATTTTGAATAAAAATTTCCAAGTTGCCATTTTCAGGTATTGTACGTAAATCATAAGTTTTATTTGATTCTTGTGTAAATAACAAAATTGTTCTTGATTCGCATGGTATAAGTTAGGTAGCTACAAATTAGAAGAGAAAGAACTTGATAATTATGTATTGAAATGACATAATTTCACATGTTTGGCAAAAAACAATACGCACCAAATCTCTTGATACGCAGACAACGTTCTTATTCAAAGTTGTTATCGTGCGACGCGTCAATTGCTGCGAGTTGTTTGAGGAAAAGATGCAAATGCAACTCACCGCTTTCATTTCCATAACATTATATGCATAACAATATTTGAGCAGCTACACATAGACTATGATGGCTATTTCATAATACAGGGTTATTCTAAATGATGAACAAAATTTAATAAATTCGTAATTATTCGAGTATCAATTAGCAAAGGATAATTTATACACCAATGGAAATATAAAAATTGAAAATTTTGTTTACATATAAACTCGTATAAATGTACGGCAAACATCCAAACGGGAGCCTTTTGAATCAGTCACTTTCGAAGCTTTGGGCCTTGGACGCATAGGAAATGCAGATCTGGCTCTACACTTCTGGCCGCCGAGATCACCTGATCTCACCCCATGTGACTATTTCTTATGGGGTTACGTCAAGGAAGCTGTTTACGTCCCGCCTCTACCAGCAACTCTGTTTACGTCCCGCCTCTACCAGCAACTCTGTTTACGTCCCGCCTCTACCAGCAACTCTGGTTGATCTGAAGAATCGTATCACTACTACGGTGCACGTAGTAACAGAAGATATGCTTTCTCGTGTGTGGGACGAGCTAGTGTGGCTCCCGTTTAGATGTTTGCCGCGCAGTACAAAAGGGACATATTGAACATTACTTAAAAAGTAAAAAAATTGATTCTTTCTCTTTTCATTGGTTTATAAATTGTTCATTTCAAGATATGCCTTAATAAATCCGAATTTAATAAATTGAGTTCATCATTTGTAATAACCCTGTATTATATTCGCATATACGAGTAGAGCAGCTTAATATTATTGGCACTAGGTTCTGATATGATCATATTTGTATTCTCGTGTCACGCGGGAAAAGTACATTACCACAGGTGTTTCAGGAAGGGAAAACCGGCGCCTCGCGCATTAGCACGCTTTCTATGATACCCGATCTCCGAACGGAAGTTTCCGCTTCGTTCGGGGAACCCCGCATCAATCGGGATTTATTTCGGGAATTGTTCAACGGAATGTTGTAAAATTGAGTGCGTTCTGATGAAGTAGTTGTATGCTAGCCTGGTCGTATCCACTAAACTGCATTGTGAGAGGTATGTGCGCACTCAACACTTCTGCGTTTTTCAGTATTAACGTTATTTGAATGTGCAAATTATTGTGCTTGATCTGGTTTTATCGAATCAACTCTGCTAGGCAATTAAACTTGATAGAGACAGAACAAATCGGTACAATCTATTTAAATTGAATGTTTAATAAAGTTTAACTTGTCACATCCTGGAACATTTTTACCAATAATTGATCTGTGGTCGTACATATACTGTTCTCTGCCAAGGGACTAAAGATTGCACTCGCCTGAACAATCCGTTATTTTACACACATCTCACTGACTTGCACTTCCATATGTCCACGAAAATTGTGTGTCCCCAATCAAAGATTTAATGTATCTGTTATTGTTAACTTGTTACGCTTATTTTTAGGTGTAATACGTGGGCTAGTCTTACCCATTATCAACCAAATTAAATATATGTGTGAAAAACCCTCAATATTGTGTTTACGATGAATACATTATTTCTATGGATTGGTATGACTTAGGTGGAAAATAAGAATTGCCAATCTCAACCAGTTTGTTATTCGCCAGGTATCTAAAATTGAAACCATCATCCAACAAACCAATTAAGTCTCCTTAAACGCCAGTACTATAATTATCAGAAACTGTAAACAAGAGGGGCACGAAAACTTTAAATAGAACAGACCTACCACTTCCGCTCTATAATAGAATCGTAACCTTTTACATTATTATTCATTACAAAGTTAAATGAAGGTTTGGCAACGCTTATCATTAAGATTTTGGGATTATTACATAAGTAATAATGTTGAGCACTTCATGGATGGAACCTGGAAATTATTAATTGAATTCAGAGTGAGTTTAATATCAAAGTCCTAAGCAATCCTGAAGTTTGTGTGTTTAAAGCTGGGATCTCGTCCTGGAAAACGACTTTCATTCTGCCCGATGATGAACAATTTTTATTCGACACGTCGTATCAATTACATAAAATTTCCCTTGAGCACTTCACGTTAGATTGTTCAATCCTTACTAAAAGTGTAATGGGCAAAATATGAACAATTTGTTGACTAATGTTATACTCCGGTCTTCCATTCAACTTAAACATTCAACTTGAAGATATGAATTTTAATGCAACCTGTGAATATTAGATAGCCCTATCTAAGATGAAATCTGATCACGCACACATTGGCTTTTCTGGGGATTGATTACATGAGATCGATTTAAATATATTTGATGCATGTTATATAGTTGAACTGCGCGCAAGTTTAATGGACTTCTAATCGAGCAGGATTCAACGAAACATAGCTAAATGCAATGTCTTTACTTTTACAGCCATTTTTATTAGCTGGGCACAAATGTTCTCGTTCGGCGTCAATGGGTTAATTAATTAAATGGACTTCTAATCGAGCAGGATTCACTCGGCGGTGAAGAAGCTGCGGGCTGAGCTGCCGCACACGCTCTTCCTGGCGGCGGGTGACTACTTCCAGGGCACCGTGTGGTACTCCATCCACCGCTACAAAGCCATGGCACACTTCCTTAACATCCTCAACCACGACGCTATGGTAAATACGATTCAAATAATCACTTCATAACTCATTCACATGCACATAACTTAAGTATTAACCAACTTAAAAATGTTATTTATATTAACCAACTTAAAAATGTTATTTATTATTATAATTTTTTAATATGTTATCTGCAAACTTATAAAAAAGAAGTTCCAGCAGGTATTTGTATTTGTAAATTTATATTCTCACGGAAATTGAGAAGATTCCCAAGCTGTTAATCTTTCACTGCGTTGAACGTATGCGGACGCAGAATAAAAAAACTTTTAAAATCGAATATTTAACATTTTTTATTACATGATATCATTTTGTCTACGTAGCCAGGATATGATCAGTAACTTTGATCGCTGTGAAATAAATGTTCATCATTCACTCATCTTTAATTGCTTCTAGAAAATCGAATGTACCTAAATAGGTCAGATTTTCACTAAAGCTTTATTTGATAATTTACACTAGATTCAAGTGTCATAACTGCTTAACATTTTGCTCAGTAACTGATGCATTCCAATTCCAAACGTCGCGCAGTCACTCGGCAACCACGAGTTCGACGACGGCATCCCGAACCTCGTACACTTCCTAGAGAACGCCTCCTTCCCGGTGCTGGCCGCTAACATCGATGATGCGCGCGAGCCCACGATGCAGGGCAAGTACGCTAAGTCGGTCGTCATCGAGAGGGGAGGCAGGCTCATCGGCATTGTCGGCTACGTCACCACTGAAACTCTGGTGAGTTGCATTTCTTAAACTTACTGAAAATTATTCATTATTTCTTTACATTGACGGAGTGAAACAATTTGGTAGACGATTCTTGGTATCTAATGACCCCTCAAATGATTCAAATTTAAATTCTGCAATCACTGGAAATTTTAGTATCGGTCGGCATCCCCGCATGTTCGAATCACAACTATTATACAATTGGCGCGAACGTTCGACATTTCTTATCAAATTCCGGATTCACAAAGTTTCAAATATTAATTCACAAAATGTTCCAGTTGAGCTTTCATGCGAATAAGCGAAGCAGAGCAAAGCCGTGACTACATTCAATGATGTGCTGAACAAAATATTTTTTTCTGGCTTGATATCGATTTTTTAGCAATTATATGATTGAAAAAGTAATGTATTTGACACAACACATGCTATGTTACTGCAAGCACGAGCACAGGCCCAGCTAAACGTACTTATACAAAAGCTCAATGAGCAAAGGATACGCAGTTCTCTTAGTCTGTTATAAAAGATGAGAGTAACACCCATTCTATCCATACCTAAGAGTGTACTATTTTGTTGATGTTGAGATTATAGTATCGTTTTCCTTTAATTATAAGTAAGATAATTGGCAAATTTTGTATGCAAATAGCGGAGCTTTGAGGCACCACCCGAGCAAAGAATTTTTTGCAGATGAATTCAATAATACATTTGTCCCCGTTCCGTTCAAATTTGTTCGCGTTTTTGACAAAAATTTTGATTCGCATTGAAGCCGACGCAAAGATTTGCGCAGCGCCTGCTGATTCATTGAAACTAATGAGATCTTTCGCAACTTTTGTTCATTAATACTCCTAAACAACAACATTCTTAATTTCAACAATATCATTGGGTTCATCACCAACACTCAAAATGACGTCAAATCTAAATTCCACACCGCGGTGGGAAAGGCGTAACGCTTGCGTGGACTCGTACCTTTGACATGCCGCACGAAGGCACCTTTCACCGCGCGTATTCACTCAACCAAATTTGACATGCAACTTGACGCAACCAGTGCCCGACACCGTGCCCCACTCGTTGGCGTCAGCTGTGTATGTTACGAATTGTCTTCTTGCGACCATAGTTACGAATTCCACTTTTGGAAATACGAAATGTGTGTCAACTGTTTATTTCTTATTAAAAGCGTTCGTCTTCAATAACATATTATTATAGCATGTTCATACGGAGATGTAATTGCGACACGAATAGGAACAATTTTAGTTCCTTGTCGACTCCACCTACTGGGCGATGTTATTGTAGAAAGTTCATTGTTATCTAGGCACCAGCTCTCTCTGGTTAAATATTGGAATATTGAAGTTATTCGGAAAAATAAGTGTGCAGATGAATGCATTTCAGTGCTAAGTGTAGTAAAATGCAAACTTTTAATAACCATTTGATTATAACAATGACTTGAGTGAGCGAGCCCTTATCTAACTTCTATATCAACTAGCACCTGTTATCACCAGAATATTGCGCTCTCAATGACAGCCCAACTTCTGTCTGTACTCGAGCGTTCTTGTGAAGGCTTTGGGAGATGTCTGACGCTGAATAGCAGTACCGGCCATAAATGTTACGACTTAATTTTGTTTTATCAGCACACGTGACGTGGGACGAATACGAACGATGCGTATATACGATATACTCATTTACGTAGGCCTACTGTTCAGGTGTTTTCAGGAGGCTGTGTGCGTAGTGTGTAAAACGGTAGCAAGCTGAGCCGCCTCGTTAATTAACTGATTTCCTGCCTTTTTAGGGCATTTTCTCATTTATGGAAAAAATGCACTATTGTGCTCGCCATGTCCGTCTGTCTGTCTGTCCGTCCGTCCGTGACATCAAATTTTCGGCGACGAGAAAATGCGCTCTCTGTCACTCACTGCAGTGAGTACTGAGTTATATTTTTTGCTATTGTAGATTATTGCCATCTGAATACACAATTAGAGTAGGAAAAGCATACATTCTTTTCTACTCATTACTATTTTTTTCTAAAATTCGCTATTTTATGGTTGTCTCCAAATATGATCATGGCACATGCCACCTACTTTAGATGCCATTCTTGAAAACATTCCAAGTGCAAACATACATTTGAATGTATGTGCATTCGTTTCTTGCATTTCTTGCACGCGCTCATTTCCTATTTTTATTATTTTCTGTTAGTTCGATGTAGTGAGCACTGGATTTTGTGATGTCAATTGCGAAACGTTTATTGATGATGGAGGAAAAGACATCCTCCTATAGTATTCTATGGATCAGATATTGAAGACGAAGCCAGTTATGATCTATTAACCAGCTTTTTGTAATCCCGAATTGTGAAATTGGGCCATTTCCTAGGCAATATAGGGGGGCATGGGCATTCACCAGAGCTACATCAATGGCATTGACAAACATAGGGGAGTACCACTTTTTCTCTCTTATCCTGATTCTTTTTTTTTTGAACCTTCCACCTTGAGTTGAGAACCTTGAACATCTTTCTCCTCAGTCCAACTTCATCGCTTCACCTGGCAAACAGGGTCGACGGTATCGTAGGTACATAGCAGCCTGACACAACTTTTGTCGCACCCGGCAACTGCCGAAATTTTATTCCGCGAATCAAATCTGAAATCATATGTTCCTCTGTCTTCTTTCTTCAAACTTTGTCTGGAGTATTATAAGGCACCAAAATAAATAAATCATTTTCAGGACTAGAGACCTGAAGCCCACTCACGCTTGAGTCATCTCTTGTTGATTTTCTGTACAGTAACAATATAATACGATACAAAACAATATAATTAATTATAATACAGTTTAATAAAACATAACAATATTTTGCAGTACTGTTTTGCGTAACGACGTATTATATTGCATGCTGCTTAACTCAAAGCCTCATATTGGCTGACCACAAATAAATTTATTCAGATTGCATAGAGCCCTTATATTGATTCTTTGGATCGTTGATGTTCAAATTTTATGAGAAATTTTCTCAACTCGTTCTTGAGGATTGTCCTCAACTTCATCGTCAGAACCAAGAGAATGCTTCTATGTTGTTTTCTATTTATTTCAAAGAAAGGGACGTATCATCTTGCAAAAGGCAACATGAAAGACTTATTCAATTTCTAGTCCGTAACAGCCATTAGCACCAAATGACGCTTGACAAACTCGAATCTAATATATCTAACCTAATTATAGTGATGGAAAAAAGTGCTGAAAAAAGCGTTTAATGCTCGCCAAAAAACATTAATTCGTCACCACTAACGCTAGCCTCAACATTAAATGTCTTGCTTCGTCTTAAAAAATATAACTCAGCACTCACTGCAGTGAGTGACAGAGAGCGCATTATCTCGTCGACGAAAATGTGAAGTCACGGACGGACGGACAGACGGACGTGGCGAGCACAATAGCGCCTTTTTTCCATAAATGAGAAAATGCGCTAAAAACACGTTTTTTCTCTTACATGAACAATGGCAACTGCAGCGGAACAATGAACACTTTGTGCTCAAGACAATGCACGCACACGGCCTGATTATGTATCCTCGTACCTGCAGAATCCTGAAGTGCTTAATCCTCAATCGCATATATATTTATATATATGGGATATATATTTATTTCAGCAACTTACAGGTGGCATAGCTGGGTATTTGTGATATAATAGATGATCCCCATTTGAGGAACATTGTAGTTGATTTGTTAAAAAGGCGAAAAATTTACCGCCAATAATTCATAATTGCTATTAAACGCGATTCCTATATATATTTTGTGAAATCATATAGTAAATGCATTGCTAATGGATAAAAAACTGATGGAAAATTATGAACACTGAACAGAAAATGTTTAAACAATGCGAGAATAAATTCAATTAAATGCGACGAAAGTACTGCATGAAGATGAAATGCAGCAAACATTTCGGGATGTGATTAGAATAAAAAAAAATATAACTCAGTACTCACTGCAGTGAGTGACAGAGAGCGCATTTTCTCGTCGACGAAAACTTGAAATCACGGACGGACGGACAGACGCACTGACAGACAGACAGACAGACGGACATAGCGAGCACAATAGTGCATTTTTCCCATAAATCAGAAAATGCGCTAAGAAGGCATGGGGGTTAGATGGACTTGTAAAGTAATCAATATATTAGGGAGCGCCGCCTTAATTTTTCTGTCGTGTTAATCAATGCATTGACATCTGTGCCATTTTTACCTTCAACAGTTGTTAAATATCTCTTAAATATATAACATTATTGACATGTTCCACTGTGTCCCAGGTCACACTGTACTCCAATTTCCCTAGCCTCGCCTCGATTGCCGCCCTCTTCTATACAAGAATAGTCTAATAGGTTTCTTCTGGAGGTGAAATTTTTATATAAAATATAAATATTGAGTCCTAGACGCTACATAAAATTGAATATTTAATTATATTAGTGTATAATACTAAATTGCTTATTCACATTTTACACTCAAATCTGCTAATGAGGTTGGGTAACTAATGCTGCTCCAAACTCAGGAGCAGCATTTGCGAAAACAAAATTTGCGATATTTGAACTGCATTTTCTTGTATCCGTTTTTTTTTTGTATTCATGACAATGGCAACGAGCTTATCGCGCCGAACACAGACTCAAGGTCGAGCGTCCGGCTGTGGCCGAATTAAGCGCGTCGTGCATACATGTACACAATCGAGTCGTACAAGACCGTTAACATGAACATGTGTAGGCAGCTTCGATAGCTCTATTTAAATCACGTATTCATTTGTAAAGAGATACAATTTAATTGACATGCCGCTGCTTTCGTCGCTCTCATCCTCATTTGAAACGCTGGCCTTATTTGTATTAATTTTCACGGTGACCAAATAGAATGAAAGAAGATGATCGATGATGATAATAATAATAATAATAATAATAATATTAATAGTAATAATAATAAAACAATAAAAAGTTACAATAACAATAGAAATAAACCGTGTCACCGTTTTTATTATAGGCCATGTTGGCCTGTCACCGATTTTCTCCGCCCGATCTCGCAAATTTCAACCAGAAATATTTCTCTGTTCTCGAACCCTCAACTCGCTGCTCCGTTCTAGGTGATCTGAGTCACCCGCCCTTCGCCAAATCAGGTTGCAAATCTTTAATCGACGAGTGTTGGAATTAAGAATTTGATTGCAGCTGTTTGCGATGTTGCCTTTCCTTGCCAGTGTCTGGTTTCTAATAGAGTAATCATTCAGAACCAACATTGATATCTAGGAACATATATTAAAAACATTATTTAAAAAATAAATGAATATAAGAATATTATCAAAAAAATTTAATTATGTGGTTAAATTTAAAAATATTATGTGCCAAGTGCGAGTTGAAAAGTGTGCCAAGTACGAGCATAAACAGCAGCGAGGGATATTGATGCAGCGTATATTGATCTTGAGCATATTAAATCCTTGACTGGAACAAATTCAAACTCTATGCCCATGTATTCTTCTCAGTGTTCTTGAGGCCAAGTTCTCATTCGGAGAAACACTTATCTTCCTTGCGAGGGACACTTGAATGCATGTCAGGCAGAAGTCACAAATGAACTGCGTAAGCACCACCTACTCCAGTAATAAGGCAGGATAATGTTCTTTATGGTTGATTTACAAAAATGAATGCCACAAATCAACTCTGCCAAGATCATCATTTCACCATTATCGCTAATGTGTCTTCATTATTTCCCATGAGTCAAGTCTGAAGTCGTGTGCATCTTTTTTATTTTACCTTTGCAACTAATTTCCTGTAGCATCTGCACTTCTCTAGGAGAGAAAAATGTAAAAAAAAATAAAAGTTAGAGTGCAGTCTACCATCTTGCTTGCATTGATCTATAAAAGTGTTAGAGGCCAAGGTTAAGTCCAGTGCACGGACTCTAATTTTGTTGCGATGAAACTTCATTCGGATAAAAACGTTACTTCTGTACCAGATACCCTGACTAACTGTTATCGTTTTCTTGGTACAGTCAACTTAACAGGCTGGATGCTCATAACTGTCGAAGATAAAACTCTTATATTAAAAGCACCCAGGCGTGTTCCTATTAAGAGATATGACCATGAAAAAAGTTGAGTGCTTGCACTTTAATTTACTGGGGTCGAACAATTTTTCCACGACTACTTTTTCTCTGCTGGTGCAAGTTTGCATAAACGAAAATTACCTTCGATCATCAAAGGATATCATCGTAAATTTGAACCTAGTCATATTGCTGTCGACCTAAGTTTTTATGGGACATGATAACCTAATTGCTCTTGATAATAATAACAGAATGATTACTTATTAATTTCACTGCGCATAAATTTACAATAGATACGTTTTTTAAGTATCTATATATATGTGTTAAATAAATAATTATATATAAGTTTAATTATATATGAGTTTTTTAAGATATATTTTAAGCTGAGTCGTCTTGATAAAGCTAAAAGATAATCATTTCCTCACATCCAATGCAATTATTCTGCCTAATAATATTATTAAATATTATTATTATAATATTATTCTCAGTTGTTGCTCCTTGCATGTTCTTTGGCGCGTCTGGCCTGAGAGGTGAGCAAGGAGCAAGTTTATGAATTAAACGTCCGTCGCTCTGCATGCATGGGTTTGAAAAGGGAAACGCACTGAATTTTTTGCTGAGCATTCCATTTTTAATGCAAGGTTGCAAGACTCGATCAGAGCTTCGGAGAGAGCAACGAAATATTTTTTTAAGATCTACACAGATGATTATTGATCTCATAACACACGAACTTGCTTGAATTTATTCAAAACATTGAGGAATGCCTCAGCCCATCCTTTGAATATTTATGTTCCCTATTCGTTTTAATGTTTTACGATCAGAAAAAGATTTACGATGTCAAATCGTAATATCTTAATGTCACGAAAGATTTACGATCAGATTAGTTTTGATCAGATGTCGAGTAGACGGATGGTCTACAGAGTTCCGTATATGTCATTTGACCTAGCGACAGTAAACATTCCTGTCAATAAATAATTAAAATGTTAATTTTTCATCTTAATAGCTGAAGAATAAATTAGAATTTTATTGTGAATCTCTGAATTTGATCCCTGTATCATTTGGAAACCCTGCATAATATTGTGTATTGAATCACTCTAGGAAATAAGATAACGAGTATACTGTACATGATATTTGAATATTATCTTGATGAAGTTTGTGCTTTTTATATTAGTTCCACCTCATTGAATGTTTTTTTAGGATGCATGTGGTGTCATTCACGGAAAAATTATAGAGGAAATTCAGTTTTCCTTCCTTCTTAGAAGATCGACTTGTTCTTGCTGCTTTGACGCAATCCCAGATCGTTGGAAAGTTGTATGCCTGCAAACGATCTTGGGTGAATGAAGGCTGAAGCTGTCACTTGAACAAAGGTTGAGGGGTCAAAGAATCTACAAAGTCGACAGAATCGACATAGATAATTTTATTTTTTTTTCATATTCTTTCATTTTCTCGCAATTTAAAGCTCGAATTGCTTTCCCTAAATTACTTTAAGCATCCGCAAGTTTCTCTCCAATTATGGATCTTAAACGCAAAATAATTTTCCGTAAAAGCCGCTGCAAGGATACTCGGAACACGGCTGGGAATTCTGCTGCATCGAGTTTGTTTGCGCGCTGCCTTTCCCGTCCTACTTCAAACGGATTTCGTTTATATGTTTTTTTTTTTGTAAATTGTGACCTCTGGAAAAGTAGGTTTGTTTTAACTTCGATGAGATGGAATTTGAGCTCACTCGGCATTGAACAGACGAAAGCGCATTTTGTTTTATTCGCTCTATTACTCTGTGGCAAATTATGACAGTGTGATACGAATTATTTTGACGACTCTGCAGCCAAAGCCGCCACTATAACTAAAAACCCATTTAAACTTCGTCCTGTCCGTGCATATAACTTTAATCGAATTACATTTCTTGCTATTTTTAAATTATTGTGAATGCGCAGCGATGGCCTCCACTAACACATTTAACTGCGATTCACAGACCGTGCGTGTCATGCTCATGACATGTTGGCTTTCTTTAATTGTCGTCTTCTGCTGAGGCTAGAATTTTAATTAATGTGCTTTGATGACAATGTTTTAAAGCATATTGCAGTGATTGCCATCGGATGATTACTATGGGCAAATATTCCTATTTTTCCCCGATTTACTTTTTTCTCGTGTTCTTTTTTTAACGTTTGGGCAAGCCTGAATCAAAAGCATCAATTGTTTGCAGCTTTGGCAATTAAATTTCACGTAAGCGCACATTTTGCAAGGGAAAACAAATTGATAAGAAAGAAACTAAATTTGCAAATAAATTTATCAGTAAAGACAATTTATTTGAAGGCTTGCGAATGTCTTGTTAGGACCTATAGGTGTCTCTCACCAGACTGGCCAGCTCTCGATACTCATGATAATTTACAGCTATCTGTAATTATGGGGCTGTGCAAGTCTCGTTGCCAACGTGAATTTCTTGTTCTCGATACATACGAGACTTTCCAGCTCCCGTCGCATATAAAATTTTACTGTCCCCGATACACACAAGCGAAAAGCGATAAGATTCCCAGCGATTGTTTTAATTAAACGATGAAAAATAAACAACAACTTATGCACAACAAAATCTCGTTCGTAGTTGCCGTCCAGCTCGTACAGTCCTACTACCGTAAAGCCGATTAGAGCGTGAAGCCGCTTTTTGCTTATCGTGCCCTGAAGCATCAGTGCAGGAATCGCTCGCTCTGAGGCTCATGTAATTGCACGGCCGCTGCCGCTACCACGCCGCCCTCCACGTGATTACTGTACACGGCGTGAGCCACATGTGGTGCCCGCGTGGTTGTGTGGCTGTGTTGCTGTGTGAACCACCCGTGTTAAACGCGTGCTTGTTTGGCCTCCACTTGATCAAAGTTGCCAGCACGCAAACTTAACTGGATTGTCTGGATTCCGAGCAGCTGTTGCTACCTGGAGGGCTGATACGTGTATATTGCTCTGCTCAGTTATGCATCGTTTCTATACTGCAATGCTCACTACATATATTGGTATTACAAAACAGGTCCAAGATTAGGACCGAATTTTGATTTCAAGACGTCAAAATGTCAGAATTAAAACACTGGAAATACAGAATAACAATATATTATCTATATATCGATAATCTAATTGCAATCGACGGTTTTTATTTCACAGTCGTCCATGCTACTTGATAATAGTAGTTTTGTAGAATTCGAGCGTCAAAGATAATTTTTAGAATTCAAGGCAACATGATTTTTCTGTCATATTACCTTATTTTATTTGTGTTCATTTACGTCTCATTGTTTTTTCCTCATTCACAATTGGTAAGAAAACTTCTCTTCGAAAGACTTGGTGATTATATTCCCATTTACCACACTTCAAGAGGTTTTACTCATTCACTATTTCCCATTATTAAACTCCTGACAATTTCAATTTGTATTTAATTTTAATAAAAATTTGGAATATATTGACTCGAACAGTATACCGGTTCTCTGGTTTTTATAAACAAAGCATATATTTCCAACTCGTCGTCGACCAAATTACAGATTACATGCCCACCTCCACACAGAGACTTCGCGTACAAACAGAGTAGATCGTCGGTCCGTCCTCAGGCGCTTCGCGGACTCGCTGAGTCAGCTTTTTCGCTCGCTCGCAACCCGAATACAGTGCAGTCAAGGGATGTCAATAGTTCACAACCAAATACACTGCTGCTCTTAAGTTAAGTACGTAGTATTAAAAAAGCGATATAGGTTACAATTTTTAGTTGTACCGTTAACGTGAATATCGTGATTGGGCCCTAAACAGCGGATCGCAGACACCGGAAAGCTGGACATTACGGACGAGATCACAGCGGTGCGGCGCGAGGCGCGGCGCCTCAAGAGCGAAGGCGTCGACATCATCGTCGGCCTCGGACACGCGGGCTACCGCAAGGACGTGGAGCTCGCCAGGCACGTCGTCGAGCTCGACGTCGTCGTCGGCGGTCACACCAACACCTTCCTCTACACGGGTACGGGGCGTGACGAAATAATATCCTGTGGCAAAGCTGACATTCAGTAGTGGAGCTGACATTCAGAAACGAAGCTGACATTCAGTGAAGAAGGTGACATTCAGTGACGAAGAAGACATTCAGTGACGTAGCTGACATTCAGTAGTGGAGCTGACATTCAGAGACGAAGCTGACATTCAGTGACGTAGCTGACATTCAGTAGTGGAGCTGACATTCAGAGACAAAGCTGACATTCAGTGAAGAAGGTGACATTCAGTGACGAAAAGGACATTCAGTGACGTAGCTGACATTCAGTAGTGAAGCTGACATTCAGTGAAGAAGATGACATTCAGTGACGAAGCTGACATTCAGAGACGAAGCTGACATTCAGTGACAAAGCTGACGCCTAACATCTAGTCCGTTGGTGAAGGACTGGGCAGGCTGTTCGGTGTTGGTAAACTATCTTTTCACGGATACATTATTCCTGGACAATGTTACTAGTGTCACAATGTTACTAGTGTCACAATGTTACTAGTGTCCCAATGTTGTGTCACAATGTTACTCGTGTCACAATGTTACTCGTGTCACAATGTTACTCGTGTCACAATGTTACTAGTGTCACAATGTTACTTGCGTCACAATCATGTACCTCGAGTTGTTTTAATTAGACCAAGGATCAACCCAATTGATATCTGCCTTAGCAAAAATACCTGCAGTTCATCAGCGCAGATCGGCCTTCTGTAATAATTAACAAACATCCACACCTTTATGCAGTTGCTGACCTCTCGATGTAGGTGATGGTTGCAGTAATTAACACACACCCACATCTTGCCTGCAGGTGCTGACCCCTCGACGGAGGTGAGCGTGGACCAGTACCCCAGCGTGGTGACGCAGGCGGGGGGCAGGCAAGTCCCAGTGGTGCAGGCGTACGCGTTCGGCAAGTACCTGGGGAGGCTGGACGTGACATTTGACGACCGGGGGGAGGTGGTGCGCTGGACCGGCAACCCTATACTTCTGGATAACTCCATTGAGAGAGGCGAGTTATACTTATATTCTATAGGCCCTACATGCAGTGTGCAATACGTACCGAACAATCTCAGTCGTTGTTAATTTTGTGGATAACTCCATTGAGAGAGGCGAGTTATACATATATTGTAGGCACAACAGTGTTCAATACCGGACAATCTCAGTCGTTGTTAATTTTATTGATAACTCCATTGAGCGAGGCGAGTTATACTTATATTGTAGGCACAACAGTGTTCAATGCAAGTCATGCAATCTCAGTCGTTGTTACTTTTTATGGCCTATCATTAAGCGTTCATTTTATTTAAAATGAAGAAAATTTAGTCGAAGCATCATATTTTTATTAAAAATAATGATTTTTATCTGATTATATATAACTTGAGAATTAGGATTGTTTATTGATTTATATCTACTGATTATTATTAGTTTTTCACCAATACATTTGTATATCTTGCATGAATTATGTTTATTGCTAATATTATCATCCAATAATATTGTATTATCCTTGTATATGATTTTTTCAAATTTATCCCATACTTCAGCTGATTTTAATGCATTTCAGCTCTCTTTTCCTTCTCTGAATTGGCTGCTCGAATGCGCACTTCTTTGATTCGTTTGCTCTTATACGTATAACATATATGAACAAACTGTATGAAACTGCAACTGTATAAACCTTGCCGGCTCGTGTGTACAGCTTCTCTGCATTTATCACGCTGCTCATAATAACATTGCATTAACATCTGATGGCTCAAGCTTGACAGCGAACTGTGACGGAAATGCTAGTGGAAAATACTTGATGTTATTTGGTCGTCAATTGTGCCTTATTTAGAAAACATTATGCAAGTCTGGAAGCTTACTTCCACGTGTATGATTCCGGTTCTTTCTTACTTATTCTTTACTGTTTAACATTAGAGCTATGAATGAAGAAGGTTAAGAACCGGAACACAACTCTATAAGATTTATAAATATATTTATTGGTAACAACAACGATGGCACCCTATACACTGTTAGAAAAATGACCGTTAACGGTATTACCGGCGTTTCAGTGGCCGGTCGGCACGTGAAAGGAAACATCGTTTCACCGTTTTTATTCCAATTTAAAACCAGAAATCCGTAAAACATTTGATAAAAACGGCGGAACAGTTTATTTTCACGGGGCGACCGGCCACTAGGATGCCGGTGGGACCGTTTTTTCACCGTTTTTTCTAACAGTGTAGACAATTTGAGCGATTACAATAGTTCCTTTAAGTATGCTGGATACCCTATTAGACTAACTCCGCAGAAACAAATATCTAAGTCCGAGATCCGAATGCGTCAGCTCGGGTTAACAAAAATCTCTGAAAAACAGATTAAATAAAATGACCTCTATTGTGACCGAACAATGCTGATGCCATGGAATAATAGTAAACGTATTCAGGAAAACTGATATTTGTAATACTTCTCGGTCAGAGCTTTTTTGACGCAATTTCTATGCTACAAAACTTCTATAAAGGATTGGTTATACAAAGCGTTTTTAAATCGGCCTGTGTTACAGTAAAATTGTCGTTTTTTCAGGGGTAAATTTCGATGCGTCCGTCAGAACAATAAAAGGGAAAAGGAAGAGTTCGGCGACACGCGTGAACGAATTGAAGTTGAAGTTTGACTTCCAACGAGGTTGGTTGAGCGGTGCCCTAGCATACAGGGTGCCCTAGCATACAGGGTGCCCTAGCATACTCGACCCTGATGCATGAATTTCATGCCCCCGTACACATGCTTGCAGCTACATAGGCCCGCTGGTGTCAGCATATTTTACTGTTAACACAAATGCCGAATTGCGAAAAGCAATCTCGCCGTATTCACTGTTGCGGTACCCCACTCGTAACATCTCGCTGTTCTGCTACAATGCATTACTCTTACTCCTTTCCAGAGTATACCATCTATGTAGACAATGATGTAATTCGGCTAACATTATGACGTAAACAGAAGTGGGAAAAACTTTGTTTCGGAAAGTTTTCAAATAATTGGCATACAAGGCTGTTACCTGAAACTGAAATTAAAGATGTCTTAGTAGCTAAAGCTGTACCATGCGTGAAGTTTTCCAGCAAACGAAAGCTGTCCGGGAAAACGTTACCTACTTCTGCTTCCGCCGCAAGTTCAGCAGAAAAAAGGCAGCTTCACGCCTGCCTTTTGTTTACTAAAACGGGTCACTTTTTACCCAGCGGTCAGGGCTGAACCGAAGTGCAACAAGTGTTTTACGTTTAAGTGGATAGTACGTGCGTAAAGTTCCTATGTCAGATTTAATTCTTTCATGGTCTCTAAGAAGAAATAGTTTATACACATTATAAGGTCACTCTCGAATAAGAGACTGAATACATGGGTCCGGGATCCGGAACTTACTTGAGTGCAAGCCAGCTTACAGGAATCTTTCGGCAAGTATTCAGTGCCTGAAGTATTTTTTCGTGAGAAAATTTTATAACTTGTTGAAGAAAACTTTCTTACGAGTTTCAATACCCAATTAAAGATAACAAGCGCTCCTACATAGATTCAAACTAGTGTCAAATGTTGTAAAGCTTATTTGCACGGGCATGTAGCACGGGCTTCAATTGAATGGGAGCAGCAAGCAGTGCTCCCATTCAGCAATAATGCCAGTGCCGAGAGTAAAATGTTCTATTTTTATACCCCGAGCCTGAACTGTTTCCAGAGCGATTATAATTTTCTAAATTAAAAAAATGACCAGCAAGGCCAGGTTGCTCCAGAAGCTGGAAGTGCCCCGCGGATTGTGTTTTGTGGCCGGTCGGCCTTAGTTAACTAAATGCCAGATTTAAGACGGAAAGGGGCTGTCTAATTCTGACCATGACTTGGAATTTTTTGTTCCTCGATAATGTGATCCCGAGAAGTGTCAGAAATACGCCACGGCAATTCAGTTCGCTGGACGACCACTTCATGTCATAACGTGCGAGTACATTGAGCGGAATTAGTTTTGCACGTATACGCAGTGGAGCCCGCTACACGTACTGTATATGACATTTCTTCAGGCGTCGCTTGTTATGTGCATGGATTTTACTCGTCTAACTTTCTTATGTGGCGTCTGAACGAGTAGGGCGACTGTAGAAAGACAGTCGTCTTGGTTAGCTGGACGTAAATAAGATAATGTATTTGAAGCCGGAGTAACCTGATAGAAATAAGCTTTGGAAATTTTATTCCTTATTAAGTATTTTACTCATTCATAAATTTTTGCTTACTGTTTCGACGTAAAAAGATTTTATTCCTTCGAGTCCGGTCAGTTCACCAGAATTCGTCATTGTCGGAATTAGCAGACATTTTTCGGTAAACGTACCGGCTAGCATAGGCGCCCGCAACTACCGGTTAGGCGAAATACCAACTCGCGCCTGGGGAGACAAGCGCCCTAGCTTCCACTTTCAGTTTCAACTCACAGGGCTCGGTGGGAAAGTGACGCGGCACAAGTAATAGGAAGTTGCTGTATGATTGTTGAATTCATATCCAATGGGGGCGGTCATCATGGTAAATTATGTGAAAATTGAAATTTTAGGACTTAAATATTCCTGATATCTTATATAATACAATTCTGACTGAATGCGGATTTTTTCGTATGTTTTATGAGTTTTGTATTGACTGATAGCTTTAATCCCTAAGTTTTAACAAATTTACTGAGGTAAAAAATTCATTTGATTTTTATCCACGGTGTAAGTTTCGAATTAATAAAGATATTGACATTTTATTCGTCGGATATATATTGTTATTGAAACATTTTTCATAATCCAACTGCCATTAATAATAATTTGCGTGAGGAATCAGTGAACTTTTTCAACGTTCAGAACTATTTTCTTCAATTGTTGGGTGATCTAGCGGCTTAGTGTTGATGCTTGGTTCGGTGGTCTAAAAAATCATAACTTATTCTGAACTTTTGCCTGTTAGTAGTTTTCGAGAACAATCGTGAAAAAAATGCTTGTAGGGACGTTATTCCAGGAAGGAATCGCACGCATTTTTCGAAGGGCGTAAACTCCTATTTATTTTAGCAAGAGCTTTGCGAAAGTGGAAACAAACAAATTTTTTTCTCCTCGCAGCCGCTTTGAGGTCAATTGCCTCCTCTTTGAATGGTCAAAATGTTCACGACTGCTTGATTGTAAGGTGACGTTGGCCGTGCTAAATTAACACGTGATGAAGTTATCTTCATCCATCACCGACAGGATGGCAATCCTGAGATTGGGAGATATCCAGAAAAATTGGTTTTGAATGATCGCGTGTCTATCCAGGAAGTTGGGTCTGGGCATCGGCGAGTGACAGTAGGAATGTTTGGATCATTTCGGTAAAAAACTCGGCCTCGCTGACCGCCAACCCAGTCGTGTGCGTTAGCCGTCCGTATACAGCACCATGGTTTCATTCTGTGCCTAGACCATATATACGTGTGTTCCACTAAGATCTTTTTTTTTTGTTTGATATGATGCATGTAAACGCTCCAAATTGGACTATTGGTGGGATTAGTATTTTTTATTTGGCTAGTTACAGAGCTACAGTATATTTTAGAATATCTTAAAAATCACCATGCATGTCTTGAGGCAAAAAAGCTAAATTGAATTGAAAATTTGGAACGGTAATGCTGCTTGAGTCAGTTTTGCACTCCAAGACATAGTATTGTCTTATTCGCTGGCATTGTTAAAATTTCTGAATATCTTTTACTGTGTGATTAATGAATACTTCTGTCCCTAAAAGAGTACGGTTGCGAAATCATAAATTTATTGCCGCTTCAGAGTTTCTATCGAAACACATCGCGTCTTATTAGTGCGTTGCCGTAACTTCTGAATTATTTCTCTGAATAACCACGATTCCGATAACAATCTTTCTATTTATGACGCAAAAATATGTACTTGAGAAATCAAACATGCGTAAATATATTCTTTATAAATCAATCCAGGAATTCCAATAAAAGAACATATGATTCCATCATAATACACAAAGGTGAGAAAGGGGGCATAAAAATGTTCTATTCAATGCACCGAAATATTGCGGGCAGTTGTGACGCAGGCTACGAAGAACTGAGTAAGAAAATAAACCTTTGCTACAAAGTTAGTCATTCTGACAAGCTAAAGGTCGCATAAAAAAACAATTTTAAAATAAATATCAGGTAGGCAGAAAAGTGACTAATTAAAAAAAAAATAAATGAAGTTTCAGAACAATCTCCACAATTTCTGTCCGTGTTATTTTATCGTGTCTGAGCGATCTCCTAGAATCACATCGCTATTTTTCCTCCATGTGCCGAGACACGTTCGTACCGCTAGAACTTTCCAGGCTTCTTCTTAGAATCTCTTAGCTGCATACGCTGACATGAGGAAAATTCCAAGCTCACTTTCATAATGAGTTTCATTCTTCTTTCCCTCAAGAACTTAACATGTTGACTCCGATTGCTTCATCTTGCACTATTATTTCATTTTTTTGTACTATAGTGAAACATGGTTGCCAGGCGGTCTTTTTTCCGAACAAATTTCGCGATTTAAATTTTTTTCAATTGCGTTGGCCAGCAAAAATTTATGATAGGGGTACTTCCTGATTAAATTTTATAAACTGCATAAAAAATTTATTTTTACCCGGGAACCCACAAATATACTAGTATATATTGAGTTATAGGCCTTTTTTGTTCGCGGACTTGGCCGTTTTTTGTTTGTCTGGCAACCCTAAGTTATGTACCACTACATCATGGAGAAATACACTTCGTGGTACGCTTATATATCACCGCGGAGTCAACGTGATCCCCCAGGTAACACATGCCCAGAGTTCTTTTAGTGACACACTCGATCAAGCCGCACGAGCCGCGATGTGATGTTATTTTCGACCTTGATTTGCAAAGGTTTTGGAGGGTATGACGCCCGCTAAGAAAGGTCGTTGGAAGTTGCTGAATTCCCTGATGGTTTTTTTGTTGGCATCTTCCCAAAATGTCACAGGTGACGATGGAAATATGTATTGAATAGAGCAAGGTCTTAGCTGCCTAACGGCCTTCAAGCATACATCCAAAACGGGAACTGATATGATACATAGAAGCCTTGCAAAATACTTGAATTTATTCTAGTGTTTTCATATTTATGTGCATTTTACGATGTTTGTGAGCACAATTTATTGATTATTTCGATTAGGTGATGACAATGAACCGTTAATCTTCAAGGGTGAAAAAGGTTAACTTGATAAAATTTTTCATACTTATTTTCATTTTTTCCGACCATTGTATCCTTTCAACAGGTACTTTTTAACGATAAAGAACTGTTTCTCTATGTGGGAGGGTTCCGTCCTATAGCTCAGAGCAAGGGTTCATGGGAGGGTTCCGTCCTATAACTCAGAGCGCGGGTTCATGGGAGGGTTCCGTCCTATTGTCCTATAGCTCAGAGCAAGGGTTCATGGGAGGGTTCCGTCCTATAGCTCAGAGCACGGGTTCATGGGAGGGTTCCATGTTGACAGAGCCCTGCTCGACTCCTCTCAAATATCGAGCGAGATGTTTTCTCTGGTGGTGCACAAAACTAATGTCCTCACCCTCCTTTTATATTGAAGATAATGCTAAAATGTTTCGGATTAAGTGCACAGGTTGATATATTAGTTAATTACTTAGTAATAAACTTAGAGGAAAATTTTTCTTGATTGTATTGTTTATTACCATGCTACCATAGTTTGAAGCCATCAAAATTCGTTAAAAGTTATTTCCTAATTATTGGAAAAAAATCCACGACCTTCTACACTCAAAATTGACTTTCTTCTTAATTTTTAAATATTTTTAAACTTTTGGCACGAATAATATAAATCGAATAGGACATATTTCGCACTGTGTATAAATTCGAATTTCAAACGTAATATCAATCTATGTACTGATTGTTCAGAGAAATATTCAAATGGAATAGAATAGAATGGAATTGTCGGCACTGAAGAAATAGGCCCATGGCCTGTTGCCGATTCTTGCACTTTTCGCGACCTTATTCTACAAGGGTTCCGGCCTTTTGAACCCGATCTTTGCTTAACTGACAATTGATTGAGATAGCTGCTGGACTTATTGCCTGGTCCATAATTTGCTAGGCATTTTAAGACTGAACATATGCTCCTGCATAGCTTCGTCTAGTCTTATTGCCTGGTCCGTAATTTGCTGGGCATTTTAAGACTGAACATATGCTCCTGCATAGCTTCGTCTAGTCTGTTTTTGAAGGCGTTCGTACTCGATCGGAGCGTCAGCGATGCTATCAGGGAGGCTGTTCCACATGTCGGTGACTCGAAGCGATAAAGCCCGATTTCCTATGGACAAAATAAAATTATTAATTTCGCGAACGCATCACATATTAATATTGAAGAAGCTCAGCACTCGGGAGTCTAAAAAAGCCAATTTATCTTACCACTGCCTGCAACTAGACAGAAATATCACTTTTTATTTCAACATTTCCTGGAAGAAAGCTAGGGCTATAACCCTGCTAGCTAGCAAAGCTCAGAGCGGCGAGCAATTTCGAGGGTAATTGCAATTAAGTTGGAGATTTAGCTTCAGCGAAGGAATGTAACGCTTGATCGCTCCAAAGCCCCAATAGGGCACATTTAAGCTTGCTTTCGCATCAGTGCTAATAAACATGCATGCATTAGAGAACGTTCGAACATTTGCTTTAGCTTTCTATCGCACTGCTGATTAGGGTGCCAGTTAAACAAGTTTCACTTTCTGTTTCTGCCCACTTCTTCCTAGTGTGATATTTTTGCGTTATTTAGAACGTTTTTTTACGAACCTCAACCGACACGGCTGAAAGCTCTTCAGGCTGTCGTCATAAACACTATCAATATGATCTTAATTTGCAGGATATATCCTGAAAAATTATTGAATTTAATCTTAGCATTCATGTGGAATTTTGAAAATAATCTTGCTGTTCTGGTTTTCTTTCAGATCCCTTCATCCTCTCAGAGTTGGTGCCCTGGAAGATCCAAATGAACGCAATAGTGACGGAAGAAATTGGCAAGACTTTCGTGTTTCTGGACGGCAACCGCCTGTCCTGCCGCATGAAGGAGTGCAACCTGGGCAACCTCGAGACCGACGCGGTCATCCATCTGGTCAGTGAACTTGGGGTGTCGACCATTTTAAGCGGTGAAATGAGCGGTGTTACTCGTTGCTGAAATCACCTACATTTTTCGAGTGAACGGCCGCACTTTTTCGTCTGTCTCATGTGTCCGAATAATTTTTAACTATAAGGAGCAACTTTTTGCTACTAAAGCTTTTCGATGGAGATTATCATTAATTGGATGCACACTCTAACTTAAAAAAATGCCCTTCAATTAAAAAAATACAAATGCCCTTGAAACTATGCCCAATGCCCTTCATTTAAAACAATGTCTTGAAGAATGCCAAGAAAGGCTGTATATTAAAAAAAATTTCCTTATCTTGAAGAATGTCAAGAAAGGCTGTATATTAAAAAAAATTTCCTTATCTTGAAGAATGCCAAGTTTCCGGACGACCTGGAGTGGGCTAGGACGAGCCTGGCCGTCATCAACGGCGGCGGCATCCGCAGTTCCATTGACGAGCGAGCATCAAACGGTAAGCTTGACTGGACTTGACTATTATTAATATGAATTTGTAATTTGTCTATAATGAGTAATACATCGCCGCAGTCGTGCAAGCTGGTGAGGAGGGGTCTTATTGAAGTACTCAGCCCTTTTATAGAGATGGTGCTTCCGCCCAAGGATAGCTCTTCTCCTAGTGACGCGCAAACTGTAAACTCGATTGCAATCACCCACCAGGTAAGGTCTCAGTGCCCCAGTGGACTTAAAACTAACGAGTCATCTGATAAACATACGAAGATTTCCATCCACAAGCTATCAAATTAGTTCACTTCTCATTATATTTCAATATGGCGTCAAAAATTGGCTTAATGTAATTTACCCGTCCTGTGGTCCTCAACATATTTGCGTAACAAGATTGCTAAGTAAATAAATGCTGCACATACGAAAACCCAGGGAACTATTTCTGCTTCAGATTAAAATATTTCCCTGTAATTTTCCAATCAACAGCTTTTTCAAATGAAATCTGGCAAATAAACACTAATTTTTCATCTACTAACTGATTTAAATTTTGTATGGATCACAGTCAAAGACAGCTGAAATCAACGATTAAATGTGTGCTGACGTCAGACCCCATAAATATATTGACAGGAAGTTTCAAGGAGCATTAGTTTTAGTGTGTCGTATGCCGCAGGAACTATCACTATGGAGGACATCCTGACGGTGGCGCCCTTCCAGAACACCATCGACATCGTGGAGCTGCGAGGGCGCCACGTTCGGGAGATGTTCGAACATTCCGTTGCGACCTACGATCCCATGGCGCTTGACCCCGGCGGCAGATTCCTGCAAGTATCAGGTCTGATATCTCGGTGACCCATAGTTAACGATCAAAAGTGCCATTCAAAGATCGAAGAAATTACGACGAGGAAGATTGCGTACAGCAGAAATAAAGAGTAAACGCGCGCTTGATTAATACGAGTATTTATGGCAGGGTTCGTGGTGGTGTTCGACATCAACCAGCCCCCGGGGTCCCGAGTCGTGCGACTGCAGGCCCGCTGCGTGTCGTGCCGAGTGCCAGTCATGGAGGACGTACAAGACGACCAAGTCTACAAGATTGCAATGCCCTCTTTTATTGCAAACGGTGGCGACGGATATACAGTCATACAAGACGAGAAAATTCAACATCATCTTACAGGTGAGCATCGAAACTAGGAACCAAATTCGTGGCACCCAGTACAAGATTAGTGCGCGTTGGATGTCGGCTAGATTATGTCAGGTTTTTCAAAATATCAATGTGTTATTATTTAAAAAGAACGTTTTAGAATGGACATTTATTTACCATTATTTATTTATTGATATCACCTCGCCTTTGACATATGAATCATGTTTTTATGACAGGCCTTGTATATCAATGCAAACCTCAACCCATAAATTTCAGGTCTACTAGACACGGACATCTACTCGCAGTACATCCAGATGGTGTCACCGATATACCAGGGTCTCGAAAACAGAATATTGTTCGTCGATTCGACCAAAGTTTGTTCGGGTACGCCATGTCTTGTGGCTCAGCCGACTGCAGTAGACTACGTTCTGGCGACGAAAGACAAGCCATTCATACTCGAATCTGTCCGACCACCTAACTCAAGTGGACTACCAACTTCATCTCGAGGGCTGCTTGCGGGTTGCATTCTGATCATCTTTCTAGAGCGTTTTAGATGATCTTACTGGATCTCATGTATCGGCCATTATTAACTTTTATAATACCTGAGACACATAATTATAGTTTCCCGTTTATAGTCGTGTAAATACGTCGGCTCTTAGAGCCGTTAAAGGTGCATGGGATGTGACGATTCTCTGCATGGCGAGATAACAAGCTCTATTTTATCTCTAGATAACAAGCTCTATATTAACGGCTTTATTTGCAGCCCTTGTGGTTCATCAAGCCAGAAGACGGGCACAATTTATTGCGCGTAGTTTAATAGAGAAGCTTTATTTTACATAAATATATATGTACAATGGTACCTGTGAATTCAAGACAATTTTCTCTTTATTACGCTGACTAGACTGTTTCATGCAACGATTTTTTCCCGGCTACAAAGCGAACAAAATTGCTGAATTCTTCGACGATATTTTGAATTTAGCATTTAGTTTGAAACTCGCGTTCTGATTGATTGACGGCTCGATTTCAACGGTTTCGTTCCTTCTTTACCTTGTAAGATAATTATTTGATGTTGGCATTCAAATTATGATTATTTTCATTATTTATTTCAGTTACTGGTATTGAAGATTGACTAATACGGTTGAGAACTGTGCTGTACAGTTGACTAGTAATAAGTGAGTTTTCAACTTTTTAAATTATTCAACGTATTTCATCAAACACTTTTTCCGTATAGACTTTTAAGTGAAAACATCGGAAAAACTGTTGATGTTTCATTCGAGAAGGTAAGAATGTAATTGTGTGGAATGCATCAAAGTTACGAAATTAATATCATTTATTTATCACAAAGAAAATGGAGTTAGAGGGTAATTCATTATTCAGTGTATTCGCTTCGCAGTTATGCTTTAAACATACCACTTTGATTTACGAGTTTTGTTTTGGCAAAACTTGATGCTGCATCAGTCACTAGACGTTGAGTTGTTCTGTACAGTGATATTGACAACTGGTATATTTCCATACCAGATTTCACGGATCTGGAACGTTGAGATGGTGTCTGGTGTGGATATTGTTGATCTGGTATAATTGCTAAATCTGGTATATTTATGGTATGTTCGGACTTCCCCAAACACGAAATTATGTTTTAGTTGTTGTTTGTATGAGGAATTATGTTAAAAAATCCTTATCTTGCGGGATACCACCCCAAAATATTGCCGAACTGAACCATATATCAACTAAAATAAATTTAAGAAAGTCAATTTTGAAATTTGAATCCATTAGCATGACCGAATTTCTTTCTTTTCAATTTGAATTTTAAATTCAATCTTTTCTGAATTTGATCATACTAAAAGGAATCCTCAAAAACGTTTGCAATTAAGTTTAACTGATTGGCATTATTTGCGAACTGCAGTTTTTAATGCAGTTTTTGTAACAAAATAATATAAGTAAAATGCATTAATTGTTAGGATTAGAGATGCACACTAGCAAAATTTGCTAGTGATCCATTTATGATATTGAGATAGTAAACTATGCAAAATAGTTATGAAAATAAACTAATCTAATCAAGCCAATATAATTTACATGTAAAATACCCTATAATATGCTAGCAAATATCAGAAAAATTTGATAACGATGTCACTTGTCTATTTGCCAGTAAAATGCACCAGGCATATATACTTATATGTAAGAATTTATAATTTAAAAAGTAGTTAAAACATATTGGTAGAATATCCTTTTCCCTCTCTTCAACAATTATCATGCAACTTATAGAAATGAACTGCAGTAAGTTTAACCTCTGATGTAGAACTTCCATCAGGCAGATGTTTTTGTACAAAAAAAAAGTTGGTATATTTCTGGTATGTTGAGCTGGTAATCTGGTATACTCAGCTAAAAAGATAGTGACAACGCTGCAGCTATAATGCAAATGTTTAAATTTGTGTTATTGCTCACAATTTAGATGGATAAATGTTGGATATAACTTACTTGATAAAATTAATGCCATCTGTACCTGTTATTTCAATAGTACGGCATCATATTTTTTCGCGCTCATAAAAATTTATTCGCTAATAATTTAAATTACAACTTTTTTTTCACAAAACAGTCTGCTTCTCAAAACCTCCACTTTTTATAATTCTAAAAATAGTTGAGCCGTATAGTCCAAACGATCGGACTATTAAGTACGTTATCGGACACACCGTATTATCAAAACAAACAAATAAATATTTGTTTGTTCTCTAAATCTAAAATGCTTATGTAAATATAATTCACTTACATTTACCCCTTCAGTGGTTCACTTTCCATACTTCATTTTGTTATTTGCCGAAACAATATATATTTCCAACTGGGATTGTATTTTTGTTCATATTTGGGCTGCATGAAGATTTTGAAAATCTTGGCCAAGAAGCTTTTTAAGAACATCCTATATTGTGTGATGAGGCTAATTTCCTTTTATTGAATTTCCTTATGATCAAATGAATGGCTAAACGTCTATGTTGTAGCTGGAATAATGAAACTTGTCCGCTAAAGAACAATTGAAATTTTCTTTTGTATATAATTTTTTTCATAGAATAGTTTCTAAATTTTGTACAGCCATGCCCTATGTTAATTCGTTCATCAGTTCTTCAGCACGGGTACTTCAAACTCCGCCATACGCAACATTAATATTTCATTCACGATTCGTTCATGCCTCAATAGCCTTCACTCTGAGGCAGCCCTTACAATATTTTAGCTTGGAATTTCCCCAATTGTACATACTCCACCGAAGTAATTCCCTACTGTATATGGCTAAATCCCTCCGGTTTAAATGTTTCTTCATTTTTGCAAGAGGACAATTTCTTCCATGGAATTTTCAGAAGCCGTATACTTCACTAGAGAATATGAAGCTGAATTTTCTTCTGTACGAAAATAATACACTTCTATTTGAGGCATTCTTTCGGTGTCATTTTCCTGCATTCCTTCCATTGCCCTGAACGCTGGCCAGCAGCGAACGACGTCGGGACGATGACACTCAATTGATGACGCGATGTGAGGTCTAATATCTTCACCCCCCATCGATGAGTATTGAATAATCATTCTTTTTAAAATATACTTTTCATAACTAAAGCACAGTGCAATAAGAATTGCTAGGTCTCCAACACTGATAAAAGGTAACCGAGCTCCTGAATAAAATATAGATATTCTAGCACTTAAAGTATCTATGCTTATTATTAATTAATTTTGGTGTTCATTTCATTCGAAACTGCTTGGAAAAATTTGTTATCAATTTTGTGAAATGTAGCATGTTTTTTTCAAGTTAATTCATCTTGAATCTACACGAAAAAAAGTTACGATTACCAATATGTTCGGTGATAATATTTCTACGACCATCACTTTAAACTAAAATATTTTATTTGATTTAGACGCTGACAAGCCCCAGTCACCGCCCATTGCCACGGACGGTCAGCGGCCGCTGGTGGCAGGCGGCCCGGAGACTCCGGCCTCCGGCCCAGCGCCCGGTCCGGCCCACAACCCTTTCCTGATCGAACCCCAGCAGATGATAAACGAGATGATGACGCGCCACGACAACTACTTCAGGAAATACTACGAGAAGAAACTCAAGAAGGAAAAGAAACGACTACTCGCCGAGCAGATTAACTTGAAAGCTGCTTCACTAAAGTTGCAGGAAAGATTCAAGGAAATCAAACTGCACGAGCTCAACGTCAAGCTGCACGAGCGTATACTGCAGAGCTTCGATAGCTTGCAGAACAGTGACTTTGCCGTTGCTGTCACGGAAACTCCAGCCACAGGCGAAGAATTGGTTGTGCCTCGAATATTTGTGTCTGCAGCTAACGGAGGAAACGCCATAGAAAGTATTGGATTTTTGGCACCAGGTTTCAACGTTTCTCTGCCGCGAGCTCGGCTGCAAATCGGTAGCGCAGTCGTTCTTCCGACTGCAGTGACGGGCACCAACGGTCCCGGGGTGGCTTCTGCAGTGTCCCCTGCCCGCGTGTTCAATATATTTCAAAAATTTTCCCCTGCAGTTGTCAAGTCTAAGCAAGTGGTGACTTTATTGAACGCCACAAAAAACGTCAATCAAATCAATCCGACCTCGCATGGATTTGAATTCGATGCTGTAAATTTTGGTGAGCGATTGAACGGATAGCATCGCGCAAGTTCGGCACTCCATTAAGCCGGACGTATATCATAGATTCATTATTACGCAATTAAACTAATGTTATCTAATGTTCCTAACCGTTGAAAATTTTATCAATATTCTATAATTCGAGAAAATTCAGTTCAACCTGAATAAAGTAATCTTGTGTATCCGAGGCTGTATAAAAACCTTTCTAAGGAGCCTGTGCTTCATTACGTTATAATAGAAACGCCAAAGAATCTTGGTCTCACTTGTAGATGCTTCCGTTTCCAAGTTCTCCGGATAGCCGCAATAATTCACTACTAATAATTATAATTTAGCTATAGGTTTCATGCATTAGATTATAAAACTTGCAGCTAAAGAATCAATTATTGTAAGGGAGAACTTTGAAATATCATAAATGAAGAATTTTAAGCTAACGGCGGCTAAAACTTCTTGTCAATTTTTGGTTAGTCTAATAAGGAACGATTGAGAGCGTAATTTGAAGTCGTCGGCACCGACATCACAGCGCCCAAGCTTAGCAATACCGTCAAAGCGAGGATATGAGAACGACCGTCGTGACGATATAGCGCTAAAATGAGCATACTAACTGGTATTTACCGGACACCATTAACAATTGCGATGTAATATACTTTGTGTGAGTGATCGTAAATGAGATGTGCGAGCAATTACGCCACACATCGCAATTTATTCACTATCAAATAAATTCTACAATAAAATCCAATCTTCGTCCTAATGATGCGATTGCTGTCAATATATAATTCAACCCTCTACCAGTCTATCGCCTGACACCAGTAACCGGAGCAATATTGTCACAAGCCTACTTCTCAAAAAGGATAAGTTGTATAAAGCGCAAAATGACTTGCACTGATGGTTGCCGCCACGTCTGACAACTTTAAAATGTTCTCTGTCGCGTACAAACGCTCTCAGGTTGCTGCACGCAATAGTTTCCGTATAATTTAAATTGAAAGTTATGTTCCCGGAGAGTGACGTACGGCAGTAGAGGGTCTTATGCAATGGAAAGAATGTAACGTAATTATTTTGCCAGGCATGTCCGCAATTTTCCTAGTTCAGGCATGAATAGTTGGTTCAGGCATGAATAGAATAGAATAGTTCAGGCATGAATAGAATACATTTAGCCCATGTCGGACATGATGGAAGGGGAAAATGTGTTTCTGCAACATTTACTAACGTAATTTAATCAACAAATTAAGTTTATATACATCAACAATACACTTAGCTTACTTTGTACACTTCAACTGATCTGATATAGACCAGATAATCAAAAGTACTAAGGAATAACTTAGACAGTACGTGTCATGAGATCTTTTAGGAGTGCAGCCCGCTAAAACGATGGAAAATCTATAATGTTCTATTCATAAATCAAATAAAATGTATTGGCTTAGCTCCATAAGAATTTGACAATGAATGAAGAAGAACAAGAATAAAGGAAGCTTCACACAAACTTATGTTTTCAAACCTCAATGAAAGTGACTAATATTTAGAAACCCAACAACGATTTCTAAAATTTATTTTGTATAGCCACAAAAAGAGCGATAAGCGACTTACTGTAGAAGTTACCAGCAGTAATTAATACAGCCCGGATTTGGGACCAAAAAAAACAAAGTCATGGAAGATGAGACACATGCTACGAATGCGGCGAGATTGTAAATGATATCGCACCACAAATAATGGTAGAAGAACGACGGGTCACACCAAGATACAAACCAAGAGGGAAAAATCTAAAAAATTGGCATGTCGAATTCTTCCCACACTAATTACACATGAAATAATCAAGAAATAAGGGAAATAGCAACGAAAATAGTGGAACGATCGGATAATGGAGCTAAGTTGAAAGCAAAAGCTTAGTTCGCTGGCAACTCAAAATCAAAGAAAGCTGAATGGAAATTAGAGGCTACAAGAGACCAATTGAAAATCAGAAAATTGACATGAAAGCACCCATTTCAGGCTTTGCAGTCCACGAGAAATCGTTTAAAATCTATAAATAAGAAGCCAAATTCGTTCTAGCAATTTCGACTACATAAAAAAGTACATCACTGGTAACTATTTTCTTTAAAGAAAAAACGCTATCAACTTGAAACTTCACAAGAATACCATTACTTGTTTCGTGCTTTATCAATTACGCTCGACTTGAGAACAAGAAAGCTTTTCATATCCAAAACTCAATACTACGTACAATGAAAGAAAGGAGATCTATTTCTTGAACACACACAATTTTTATTAAAACTTGAGTCAGCGGTCAATGAAGTGGGGCGGTATGAAATATATCGTTCAAAGCAAATGTCAGCAGACATCTTGACTTGACTATCGTAGTGAAGCAGGAGACAGATGCGAATTGTTCAAATAAATTAAGCAATTGCTTAAAACAAAACAATCTTTGGTGAGATTAACGAGCACAGATATGCGCTACAAACATAAATTTGAAAGAAGCTCATGGCGGTTCAAGAAAACGCGAATCTACAAAAATCCAGTCAGTCGCGGCGATGTTTTCGTTGTGTGCAGCCAGGAATTGAAATGAATTAAGATATTCACAAATGTCGCTATAACTTGAAAACAAGAGGTTTACCTTCCAGCAAAATGCTCTCTTCTTGATAACAGCTCCATGATTATACAACTCAAATTATCTACCCTAATTCACATGAGTAGACATCTTTAAAATTTTTGCCATACAAATTGTAACCGGAACGCTATCCGCGCGATAATGACTTCAATTCAAGCTAAGAAATTTGCGTAGTGTTCCTCTAATGTTAAGGTGAAAACTAAAGATTATATTTGTCATTCGCACGTCTGCGCAGTCATGAAGGAAGGCAGGCTGTAGGTGTCGTCGAAGAGGTCAGCGAGGCCTTCCGTCGGGTCCAGGGTGAAGAGGTAGTCTCGGTCCGAGGCTGGCGGGCTCAGCGTGATCAGCGGCGTGAAGGCTGCAAAGTTGCCGTCATTATCAGACATGCTAATGTGCATGGGTAAACAAAACGCTATGCACCACCAAATGCGCGTGAAATACTCCCAGTAGTGCAGTAGCACCATTACAGTCGATGTAATGAAATATTTCCTATTATAATAAACAAACACACCAGCCATAGATCAAGCCGAAATTCAAACAAAAACATATATTAACTATTTCAATTCTCATGCTAACAGGAAGACAGACTCGGAGAAAATTATTCAATACAATATCCTTAGTTAACATAATTCACTTACGGTCAACTCCATCCGAGCCCAAGTATTCGTCGAGAATATCACTGCTGACGTTGGGCATGGCAGGATCTGGGAACACAACGAAAGTGGATGTCACTGTCATGCAACCTTGTGGTGCATGCCAACAACTTGTTATGAAATTTGGCCTGTGTTTCCGGACTTCATTTAATATATCACTTAATTCTACAACTTCTTGATCATGATGAACATGATTTTTTACAGACTGAAACCTAGTAACGGCTGAATAATAAGGAAAAAAAAAAGAGTCAGAAAACCTCTTAAAAAGTATACGTTTCCAATGCTCACTCATGTTTTCATTGATGAAGTTTCAAATGAACTAAAGAGAGTGGGGAATTCAGATATCATGAAAGCGTAGGAAATTTGCCTCCATAGAGTTGCTAACTAGATATAGGTAAACTATATACATCCACTCTCAGTGACGGCAAGACTGTAATTTCAGACGTGACTCAAGACAGGTTGGGACGTGCAGGGTTTGTAATCACGCAACGACAGATCAAGGCATCAAGTCGAAACTCGAGGACATAATTCGCTCGGCCGACACAGCGAGCTTCCAATGAAAAATCTCTACACCAGAAATGCAATTGAACTAATTCTATCAAGTAGTTAGGCCTGCGTGAGGTTAATCGAAGATTCATCATATTTAGCAAAACAAGGAATATTGTTTGTACTACCGATGCCAGTAGAGGACAGAGGGGAGGCAGGGGCCGTTGGCGGCAGAAGGTTGCCCATGTCGTCCGGGCAGACAGGCGAGACGACGTCTTCCACCGCAGGCAGCAACTCGCTCGCTCTCGGACGCACGCTTAAGGATTCTGCGTACAAATTACCAAAGAAATATCAGTTACATAATAAGTCTTAAACTTTACTTAACTTGAAATTGGTCTGAAAGTATTGCAATGAGTGTTGATCCTAATATGAGGAGGCTTCCAAAAGTTTGTGGAAAATGGACACACCGATCCTGTGCGAACATCTTATAGCGTGCTTTCATATGAACCCTTAAATTAATGTTGCAAAAGCGGGGCGCCATTTTAAATGCAGCAACCGTTCAAGTAACATGGCAAGGTAAAGGCCAGGTCAAACATCAACTTCATGGTGAAGCTTAGGTGGAAGAACAGCCAAATCATTGACTCTCAGGAACAAGTTTATGGTTACCGACAGAGCCTCAAAGAAACCTTCAAAGTGACTAGTAGTTCCAGAACAGGAAGAAATGAGAATGAGCGGGATTCCGCATTAGTTTGTGTGGAAAACATTGATGCCGTTCGTGATCTCAAAGTAAAAGATAGACAAATTAACACCGAATCAGTAGCAGACACACTCGATATATCTATGGGTTCCGCACACAAAATTCCAATGGGCAGTTTGAGACTGAGCAAACTCTCCGCTCTGTGCGTTCCGAGGAAAAAACTCAATGAAAGCTGTGGGTGCACAGGGGGAGGGGGGGGGGAAGTCGGCCAGTCAGAGAAAATTCTGAGTGCTCAAAACGTCAGGTTACGGACACTTTCTTCTCGGATGCAGAGGGGATCTTGATATAGAAAAAGATTATGAGGAAGATATCCAAGAAGGCTGCACAAAAACGCCCTGGGAAGCAACATCGGCACATACTTTTCCACCAGGACAATGCAGCCCCAAATGATGCTAGGCATACAAGAGCTGCGCTATGCGCATTTCCATGGGAAATAATTCGGCATCTACCTTATAGACTCGACCTATTCCCATCTGACTTCTTTTTATTTGTAAAGCTTAAAAAGTCATTGAAAGGTATCCAGCTTCCATCAGTTAAAGCAGTAAAAAGTGCTGCCATAACATGGTTCAAATAGTATTACTCTCAGTTCAACAAAGATGGACTTAAAGGCAGGTGTCAGCGTTCAGAGAAATAAATTATCCTAGATAGAGCATATGTTGAAAAATAAAACCTAATGACTTCGTCTGCTCTTTCAAACAGTTGTTTTTCCATGAACTTTTTGAATCCCCCCCCTCATATGGCCACTTCCTGATGTAATATCAATTCATACATAAAACTTGAAATCAGCAAGAGAATGTCCTTTCTGAAATTTTTCTAGGAGTGTAGAGATGGCATTCCGTCCAAATTTGTCACACATCAAACTTTAAAGTACGATTTGTTTCAATGCCGGTGGTGACTTCAGTCTCCGGCTTTAGTGCTTAAGATCCCCAGGTAACACGAACCCTGAGTTCGTCTAGGAACACTGACCTGAGACCAAGCTGGAAGAACTTTTGACCACATTTTTGACGGATACCATGCACCACCCACCAGCTCCACCGAGATATGATTTTAGCTCAAGGCTGGAACCCACGGCTAGCCTGTCTCATCTCCGTACTGCCATCACTGGGCAAACAGAGGCGCTAAAAACTGCGCTACGGCGTCGAACGAATCCATTGGCTTTAGAGCTTCAAGACAAGACACACACAAGCAGCCAAATGAGAGTACACACCAGCAGCTACAGAGGCCTCGGACAGCCGTCGCTTGGAGCGTCTGCTGGCAGTCATGAGGGACTCGGTGGCACTGCTCACGCCGGACGCCGCCTTCCGCGCCAAGCGGCGAGGACTCTGCCAAGATCAATAATATAGTCAGTCACACATTACACAAGAAGTGATTGAACTTGTACCAATAAAAAGAACAATTATAACAGAGCCACGATGCCTTATTACGATGCATGCACCGCGTGACAGTAAAAAATCCATCAGATCTTACTCTTCAATTTAATCAAGAGAAAGCAAAGAATGAATCATAGATAATAAGGGCAAACTTAATTGTTAATTGTTCAAGTTGAAGCCCCCATAGCAAGATCAAACCAATTACTTCAGGTTCTTCCTTTTATTTTTACAGTGGCCTAGATGAAAAAATCTATTGCCTCTTCAGGGTATGGAAAAAATGTTCATTAAGTGTTACATTTTTGAGTACTCAACAACTCAAAATTAGCAAAGTTTGACAAGGAAGCCTGGTAGACTGCTGTCATCAGGCCGGGAGTCCTAACTAAATTCAAAACCAATGCCTTGGATTGGCTGGCTAGCTTGAAAAATAATGGGTTGAAGGTGGAAATTAATTTTTTGACAGTTCTAGGGCAGGCTTTCTTACATACATGATAATAAATTCATAAAAATCATCAAAGTGTTATTCTCTGAGGAGACCATTTTACGCACTTATGACTTATAGTAATACACGAATAGTGAAATTAATTCCTTATCGGTGACTGTGTTTGACAGTTACTGTCTAGGCTAAAAAAAGGTTACTGTCTATCTTATTATTCGAGAAGGTTAGTCCTTAACTATACTTTCTGAATATTTATGAACTTACCTGGTTTCATTTACATCTATTAATGTTATATATGCACATGAAACAAGCATGTAAACATTTTCAGAGTAAAACTACTTCGTTGTTTGTAACTCAATGCAGCCAGTTGTGGTGGTGTGTTGACATAACTCAGATAACTATAAACTTAATTACAGGGCCAAAATAATAATAACAAAAAAAGAACAGGACGCTTGCATCTAATCAACATGGATATTTCGGAACGTATTCCTTACCTTATTGACAGCTTCTTCCTTAGCTTCCTGCGCCATGACGGTGACTCCTAATCTGGAAGCATCGCGAACTGGGCGATCACTGGATTGCTGATCCTGGCTATCTGCATCTGTCAAGAAGTCTTATTCTGTCAAAACAATCATGGAATATCGTACACTATTGCCGTTGAAGTTACATTAAATTTATTTTAAGCATATCGATCAAAGACAAACTATGACAGATGCAAAACGAATCCCCTTCCTAGGAATGTAGGTAACTGCATTACTAGAACTATATAACAAAATTTAAATGTTTAAATCTTTAAAATATAAATACACTACACCAATACTTGAACACCTTCTTTCTTCTTGTCCTGGAGCCAAAGTTTATTACTTTTAATCTACAGAATTACCGGAACTAAAGGCATAAATGTCAAAGAATATTGAGGAGCCTTTTCATTACAGCACGTCACGGTTATTTTTGTGATAAAAAGAAAATATTCTTGAAAACTCACCCAAAGAAGATGCATTGATGAAGCTCAGCTCTCCTGCAGCCTGCCCAGCAGAACCTATCCCCTGCATACTGAGACGCTGTCTCTTCATCCCCCGGCAGCTTTTGCTTGACACGAACTGCAGGCAGGCAACTTAGTCATCACACAACATAAACTGTTTTGAATGACAAATATATTATGAATTTAAAACTGTGAAAGCAGCCAATAAATCCATAAATTAAACAATACATATTAGAAATAAGGTGTATATATATAAAAAAATTTCACTCCGAGTGGAAGGGTTATCATGTCACTGGACATTCCTCTACAACTTAATTTTGTCAGGTGTCTTCAAAAGTACAATGCTCCCCAATGGCCTCAGTTTCCAATTAATTGCTCAAAGGACATTACTATTTTTCAAATAAACTTTAAACATATATTTCCAATTCACCTGATGTTCGAACTCACAAGTTTCCTTCACATCCAATATAAATTTTTTATTATTTAAAATAAACACAATTAACAATATTGCCTAATCAAACTGCAAAATTATGGCATGTTACAATTCACAAATAAATATATATAACATGAATCCAATCAATGCAGTGCAATTCATAATAACTCAAGATACGAGAGCTTCAACTAAAATCTAATTAAACCACCAAGGCAGTCTTGAAAAAAGCATCTATTAAATTATAATGACGTACATGTTCAATACAAAAACATTACAAACAAAAATACAATGAAAATCAATACAAAACAGATAACTATTTCTATCTACCACAATCTAGTACTATCAACTTTCAGACACACTGGAACTACAAAATCAGGTAAATAGTTTTCTCATAGGAATGACAAACTTTGCTTAAATTTAATCATGACAAGAAGACTTGCATCAAGTGTTTCTGCAGATGTTTTGCCACTGTTGTTCTCCAGCATGAGCACTTTAATGGGACCCGTCTCACTCTTCAACGAAACCTGGTACTTCTTTGCTTTCTGACCTGCAGCTGACAGACTCGACTCCTGGATAAAAACATCATAAGCATAAATAAACGGAGAAATGATGCATAAAAAGCAACCAAAGTCAATAAAGAGCTCAAAGATCCAAATCTATCAAAAATTAAGAATTTTAAACTCATTTCTTTAATTATTTAACAGAACAGCAAAACAATAGAAAATCATAGACAACATTTTTTGCTATCAATAACACACACTAAAAGTTAATTTCCTCAAACCTACTGAGACTTTTCAATTCTCATTTGACAACATGAATATATAGTGGACTCATAGAAATTAATATATTTTACAACTAAAAATATAAAGCAAATAAATAAATATGTTTACAGCCTTTCTAAGATGCTTCATGGAATGATAAAAAAAAAATCAATAATTCAGATAAATAGAAAATTGAGATAAGAAAAATATATATATAAATATAAAGAGAATAAAATCAATAGGTATATAAATACAGGGTGCGGCGTGGGAACTTACTCTTTTAAAAAAATCACAAAGTAAAAAGTATTAAAGATAGCGTTTTAATTCTTTCTTTTTTACTTACTCTCTCGACATTTTCTGGCGTCCTAGTGGTTTTGGAAGGACCTGGTTTTTGTTTCCACACACTGCCTGTATTCATAAAAGTATTCACCCACTGAACGATTGATGTACGACCAGGAACACGACCAGTGGGCGCGACATTAAACTGCCTCCTAAACGCACGCTGGGTTGCAATGATAGACCGGCCACTAGAAAAGTACACAGAGACTGCGAACGCGCGCTCCTCTCTCGACCACTGCATGGTCGCAACTGAACTGAGTGGACGAAAAACTTCATAGCCCGCGCACCATATTGCGCATGGCGCCACCTTCCTAGGACTAATGGCCGCCACGTGGCGCGCAATTCAAATAAGTAAGTTCCCGCGCCGCACCCTGTACAAACAGCAAAGCAGAATGTTGACAAAAGCAGTTATCTATATATATAACTATTGGACTCAACTAAATTTTCAAGCAACTAAAAAAATTACCTTAGATGGCAAGAAAACCTCCATCTTTGTGGCAGGTGGCGCCTGCACAACAACTACAGCCTGGTCAGGAAACCAGCTCAAGATGTCCTGCTGACTGACGTAGGCCAGCTTTGTGTTCTCGCTGTCTTGGCTGACATTGCTGATGCTTTGCTCAATGTACTGTGGGATCATTATTCTATTAATAAACAGAATTTTTACACTGAAATCATTCAAGTATGTATGGTTGTAGCATCAATAGATCAATTGATAAGAACTCCATGTTTAATATCAACAACTAGAGTGCAAACACTTTGGTTTGAAATTAGAATGATATATACACAACTTTCTTAGTTAAACAAGCAAATGAATGCCATGAACAAAATCATACAATATTTTAAAAATTCCGTAACTTACACTTCATCATTTTATTAACAATCAATTTAAAAACATTTTGGTCTGAATTAACAATGAAAAAAAATTTTTACACTGATTACTACATAGAACCTTGTGAAACCAGATCTTGAAAAAACAACCAAAGAACAATTTATAAACATGATGGTTCAATTCTTGAACTGTTATCAACCTGAAAAAACTCTTCTACCTTTTTGTGTTCTTCCAACATTTTTTCATGCTCCTCCAGCTCTTGCAGCTCTCTCTTGAGCTTCATGACCATGTCAGAATACTCTTGTGTATTGGTGCCTGGACCTCCACCCTTCCAGATGATGCAGTTCTTGCTGCGCTTCTCAATGAGGCCAATCCCTTCCAGCACATTTGTGATGTCATAGATGCGTCGTTTCTGCGGCACGGCCAATAACTCGGCTGCCTGTAAATAATTAATTTTAGCATATTTTAGATTTTAGATGCAACTGATGATGGATGTATGACAGTCTAGAAACAAACATAATTTATTTATGCAATAGTAGCTTGGTATCTCAAAGGTTTAAAAATTCACTGCAGAGCCAATGAATTGACTACAGACAGTGGTCAAGGCATTGACAGACATTGACTGCAGACTATGGTGAAAGAAAAAGGTTCTACAGCATGTATATAATCCAAGCTGGGTTCACTAAATAAAATTTATTGATAAAAATACCTTCAAAATTAATTATTTATTGAACTGCATCATTTATTTTCAATGCAGTATATCAATCAGCTTGCACCTCCATTAATATCAAAAATTTCATAAAAAATTCTTCGTTTTATTGTGGAATTTGACAACTAATGAGAGTTTTGATGACTAATTAAAGATTTTGTTTCTTTCATTCTCAATTCATCAATCTTATTTGATATATTCTTGGAATTGGCAACATTATCTTTGGACTTGGGATCTACTTGGGCTTTGGTGATTACGTTTTGATTATAATTTGCTACTGTCGTAAGTTATAGAAGTCACATCACACATTCCACCAAATTCTGAATCACTTGAATTTTTGTAGTAGGTACTGTATATCATTGAGCAACTTTGGTGTTTACTATTTCATTTTGGGTACATGATAGTAAAAATAATAATTATGAATTGGCACACTCAGACGATTAGTAAATGTAATGTACCGGTATTTGATTTTTAGTTAACTACAACAAATATGGCAACATAGGTAGGTATAAGTGAATTGCACTTTTGTTTAAGTAGGTAAGCTACAACTTAGAACACGTCTGGGTATGATTGGTTAAATTTGTAGATAGCTTCTGCAGCGGAATCCCCGAAAATGATTTTGAATGCTACTGTCAACCGGGGTAATAAGGGCTGGGCAGTTTAAATCAGGACAGTCATCCCACATTTTGTAGAAATGTTATAGCAACTAAACAAATCAAAATATTCCAAAACTAAAAACAGTTCAATTTAATCATTGCTAAACAGTATCATTGTTTCCCCATCATTTTTTCATAATTTTCCTATCAATTTTTCATCATTTCCCCATCATTTTTCATTATTTTCCTATCATTTAACCATCATTATTCCAACATTTTCTCATCATTTTCCCCATCATTAGTCCATAATTTTTCCAAAATTTTCCCCCATCACTTACCTAGCATTTTCCCATTATTTCATTGTCATTATGCCATCATTATCATATTCTCATTATTTTCCCATCATTTTCAGAGCATTTTTGTGTCATTTTATCAGAATTTATCATAATTTCCCATCATTTATCTATCACATCATTTATTCATTTTTCATTCATCATTTACATATTTGCTATTTCTTTATCATTTTGTACACTTTCTTTATCATTTATTTATCAAAATTGACTTTATTCTGTTCACTTCTACCTTTTGTTTAATTTACCTAATACTAGGGTAAACGCGGTATATTCCGACACATTAAGGACGCATCGAGAAATGAAAAACTATAAAAAATATCCGTATGCATTACTCGAGTTCTGTTTGCTTTATTTGACTCGCAAAACACCATACTATGCGCCAGCAACGATGAAACGTCACAAAATGTTGCCATATTTATTTAAAAGCCTTTAGAATGCAAACCTACCAAATCCCTATATTCCGACACTGTGTGTGGCAATATTTGGCACGTGGTGAGTCGTATTGCGTCAGCGCTTCAAATTTAACTGATACGTAATGCCAACATCCACGTGTTCAAATTCCGTTCACTGTGTGAGCTGTATTGGGATACAACACGGCTTTTAATTAGAACACTAACGAATATTGAACACTACTTAATTACGTTTTAATTAACAGATAGGGTAAACGCCGTATATTCCGACACATTAAGGATGCATCGAGAAATGAAAAACTATAAAAAAAACCGTATGCGTTACGCAAGTTCTGTTGCCTTCACATGACTCTCAAAACACTTCACTACGCGTCAGCAACAATGAAACGTCACAAAATGTTGCCATATTTATTAAAAAGCCTTTAGAATGGAAACCTACCAAATCCCCATATTCCGTCACTTTGTGTGGCAATATTCGACACGTGGTGAGTCGTATTGCGTCAGCGCTTCAAATTTAATTGATACGTATTGCCGACCTCCACGTGTTCGAATTCCGTTTGCTGTGTGAGCTGTATTGGGATACAACACGGCTTTGAATTAGAACAAATTCCGTTTGCTGTGTGAGCTGTATTGGGATACAACACGGCTTTGAATTAGAACACTAACGAATATTGAACACTACTTAATTATGTTTTAATAAACAGCTATCAGGCTTTTAATTAAGCAAATTTCAATTTTTGTACAAAGCTTGGAACGATCTGTGTGTGTCCAATTCAAGTTGTGTCGGAATTAGTTTTCATGTGTCTAAACCCATTTCTCAACTTAATCATCTATTAATTTATTTACGACTTGAAATCAGCGAATACAAGTATACTTAAAGGATTCCTAATATATTCACAGATGTATTTAAAAGTCTCAAACCATAATATTCTTCCTATAAAAACAGTTATTCACTATTTGGTAGAGCAAGGTCAACTGTCAAATTTGACACATTTTTCGATGATCTCACCAGGTGGCATGCATTGTCTCTCTTTGGATCTCAATATTTTCCCACTAGATGGCCAAGACCTAGTGTTTTTGCAGTATTTCGACACGCAAATGTATGACGTCATCATTTCAACCATCAATGAACGCATGGAACTAAAACAAAGCTTAATATAAAGGAAAAGCTGGAGAGGTGACGGAATTACCTACGATGTCGGAATATACCGCGTTTACCTTATTAGGCTTTCAATTAAGCAAATTTCAATTTTTGTACAAAGCTTGGAACGATATGTGTGTGTCCAATTCAAGTTGTGTCGGAATTAGTTTTCATGTGTCTAAACCCATTTCTCAACTTAATCATCTATTAATTTATTTACGACTTGAAATCAGCGAATACAAGTATACTTAAAGGATTCCTAATATATTCACAGATGTATTTAAAAGTCTCAAACCATAATATTCTTCCTATAAAAACAGTTATTCACTATTTGGTAGAGCAAGGTCAACTGTCAAATTTGACACATTTTTCGATGATCTCACCAGGTGGCATGCATTGCATGCATTGTCTCTCTTTGGATCTCAATATTTTCCCACTAGATGGCCAAGACCTAGTGTTTTGGCAGTATTTTGATGCGCAAATGTATGACGTCACCATTTCAACCATCAACAAACGCATGGAATTAAAACAAAGCTTAATATAAAGGAAAAGCTGGAGAGGTGACGGAATTACCCACGATGTCGGAATATACCGCGTTTACCGGGTATATTTCTACAAATCAGTTCAACTGATTCTAAAAAATTTCTGGTTTGTCAGAAATTGTCACTATGCCCTATACCCTTTCAAATCTATCAGCAGGCACACTAACTTTTTCCCACCCTCCTGCACTCAAAGTCTCAAGTTCTCAACCAAAATGTTTTACTTCAGTTAGAATGGATAGCCTACAACAAGAGCTTTCTAATGGTGCTAAAAACTTTGAAATTGGCTCATAGGAAACCTAGATATGATAGTTTTTCCAATGTCAGAAATTGGTCCATTAAGGAGACTTAATTTAATAAAGGAAAAAATCCATATCTTTTCCACTTTTACTTGTATTACACTCATATTTTTCTCTTTTCAACCATATAATTTTCATTAAGATCAGAGGAAAAAAAATTTTTGTGCACATACTACAAATTGGCAACGAAATTCAGTTTTTTTTTATCCTGAATTCTTACTGATTAACACAACCCTGTAGTGTAGAATAAATGGCAATTAATAGTTTGTATTCAAATTCAGTTAGGTACCTTGATCACTGATCTATAATACCGATTACCGAAAAAGGTGGAAATACAATTCTCACAGCCTCAAGTTTCTTCTGTTCTGTCATCTGTGACGTTCGAGAGTATCGAAAGCTTATGATATCGAGATGGCCAACGGATTTAGTGGTCACTTTGAAAGTTTCATCATTAGAAACAACTATTTAATAAATTAACATTCAAATATACTTACTGATTTAATATCCAACACGCCATCTTCTGCATCTTGCAAAAGAGAAACAAACTTAGAGGTCAAAAGCCCCAAAGATTTTTCTTGTCTACTAGCAGCGGGATCTGCCATGTTTACATTTTCAAAAATTCCAGCAATTTTGAGAGTACCTTAATTCATTGAGATTGATATTAAAAACTTATTTGCCTTTATTCATTCAGTGAAAAAAACGCTTTAGTGTCTTAGGAATTACTCAAATGTAATCTCTTAATTTATTGAGGGTAAACAATGACTAAAATTTTTAAAAAGACTTTAGCTGTTCAACCGAAAAATCTTAGCATGTTACTATCGAGATGAATGGAACATCACGCACGTGGTGTAACTGTTATCCATATCCGTCTCGGACAATTTTACGGCCGCAGTCTCACGGCCGGTCTCCGAGGAATATCTCCCAATTCTATTGCCCAGATCTATATTCCAAATTAATGAACGCAGCTCGAGGAAACTTGGTACGCGTATTCATTAGGGACTAACGGCGATGCTTAGCTCGTGAAAATTTTCTCCACTTCACCTTCATTCGGAGTTAAACGGTGGAACGGGCCGTAATTTACAGTGATCAAGACATTTCTTCTAAACTACCGAACAGAATTGAACGAAACTCTGACTGTGTATTTAAAACCACCCAGCGGTGATGTTTTGCTCGTGGAATTACTTTTATTTCGCCTTCTTTTACGAGATAAACGGCTATACGGGTAAACGACCTGCATTTCAGAGGCCGACTTTATTTGCAACGACCAAAAAATATTTCAATAAATACCGAACGGAACTCAATGTAACTTCGTACCCGTATTTATTAGACCTAAAGTTGATGTTTAGCTCGAGAAAGTTTTTTTGATTTCTCTTCGTTCGCTAGTTATACGGCAAACGTCGAATCCACTGTTGAACGTATTAATAAACATTCATATGCAGAGGATGATAGTGCAAATTCGAACTTTATTGCAGAGGATGATAGTGCAAATTAATGTTTCCACTTTGGCTTCACGAGCTTAACATCACCGTTTGGCGGCTAGGAATGTATATTCAAAATTTTGTTCAAATTTATTCAGTATTTTAAAAGAAATGTCTTGGTCACTGCGAATTTTGACCCGTTTGCTAAATAACTCACGAATGGAGGTGGAATAAAAATAAACTCCGTACAAAGGCAAAATCGAAAAAAATTGCCACGAGTTAAGCAGCACCATTTGGTGGCTAATAATGTAAATTCAAAATTTCGTTCAAATCTGTTCGGTATTTTAGAAGATTGCCATGATTTAAGATTGCCACCAAAGATTGCCATGATTGTCTCTCACCAAAGATTGTCATGATTGTCTCTCACCAAAGATTGTCATGATTGTCTCTCACCAAAGATTGCCATGATTGTCTCTCACCAAAGATTGTCATGATTGCCTCTCACCAAAGATTGCCATGTTTTTGTCTCACCAAAGATACAAAAAAAAAAACAGCGAAAAGAAAACATGTCAAGACAACGTAATGATTATGCAAAATGATCTTGCTAAAACTTTGCGCAAGCACGATTTTAGCACATGTCACTGAAAGTTCTATCAAACGCTTATGGCTACATCGATCTGTCTGATTTTTGGTGGAGAGATGCAGAAAAACATAGGGAACAAATCCTGACCTTACAATTTTTTTTAACTCTATTACTTCTCGAGTTACAGCCATTCAAAGTTGAGTATCTTTTTTTTTGGACACCCTGTGTACGCAAACACTCCCAGTAAAGCCCAAGACGCTACGGACGCAACGTGATGAAAGAAATTAAAGAAATTACCGATCAATGAATAATAAAATTATAATAATCACATCAAGTTTTCAATTGTTTAAATTTGCATAACCTAATCAGTCGATTAGGCACAACATAATTGGAACAGTGAGTTGTGTGTTCGAGACCCGAAACATGCTGTGAAAATTCTGCGATTTCGAGAATCAGCGACTTGATCTAGTGACCTAATCAACGCCTAAGATACTATTAATATTATTATTATTTTTTTAGTATTATTACTGCTATGCTTAGTTCAAACGAGATCGCTTAAACGCTTTAGTCGAAATATTCCGAAACGCCTAACTCCGTCATATCGAAACCTACAAAGATTTGATTAATGACAAAGCTAATAATTCACATTGCGCATTGAAGCCCATTGTTTGAATATTTCTTTGCTCTTCTGTTATTGGAGACCCTAAATAAACGACGGCCTTGTCCATTTCTTGACTTAATGACCATCAACATTACCTTGATCCATATAATGACTTCCATAAATAGTTACCGAACAGTGTATTTTTAATTTCTGATGCAACGTCTTGTTGCAATCTTTTAATACCATAGAGACGGATGCTGGCCCTCCGCACTGGTGAATCTCTCGAAGATAAGGGCAGCTTCGGAAAACATGAAAAATTGAATGAGGATTCCACATATGAAGCACAGTCTGAAACCTTGGCGACTCTCAAGACTTGCGTGTGCAACTATACATAAAGTTGAATTGAAAAGGTTGAAGAATGATGATGTAAATATGCACCAATCATCAAATTTCTATTCTAATTTCTATATAGTACCGCAAGATAAAATAATGAAACTCTGAGTGCAAGGAATGTTTTACCAAAGTTAATTCCAGGTTATGAGAGGGTTGTTTTTATTACGGTGCTTTATACATGAGGAAAGAATTAGCAAACCGTGTTTCCTCATCCGCAAGCGCCGGTGAGTCATTAGAAGTCGTCGAAAAAAGTTTGTGCGTGGTGGAAGAATTTGAGCGTGATAGTAATGGCCAATTTAAGTAGGCTTTTGATTAAGCAGTTTTCTCTTTGATGTAACTCAAGGTGAGGAGATGAAAAACGTCGTTACAACTGGGTAGCACTAAGTGATAACTTGAAGCATCATCGAATTAGTTTGTGAACTCACTCATCATTGACCGGCGTAAATGCTCACATTACGGCTGGAACTGGTGTAAACTGGTGTCGCTTCCCGACGAAAAAATATGTCGACTGCAAGATCCGGCTCCCATCTACTTTTCTCTGAGAGAGAAATTAGCCTGAAATTTGAAGTGGAAAGTATGTGAAGCTAATACTATCGGCTATTACTTTCTCCGCGTATAAGCACCTAAAGGCTTTGATTGAGAACAAAGGGCCTACGACCAGGCTCTGCTCTTCCCTATGAGTTTCTTTACAACTAAGGCTGCACTTTAATTCATGTAAATGAGATGGCGATATAAATTTTTCCATGCTTACTTAGCTATTTATTTACAAACGGTGGACAGTTACAAAAAATATCTAAACCTTTTATCAAAAGAGTTAAAATGTAAGTAATTTCAAGAAACTTTGAATATTAATGTCCACCAAGTCTGCGACTTATACACCTTTTTCGAGATGTTAACGGGTTATAATTTTTATTCTCCACTGAATGGTATACTCGCATTTCTTGATCAGTCTCTTTGTTGTATATTATTTTATTATTTACCAAAAACTAGTTTTGAACGATCATGCTCATACGTAAAGTGAAAACCCCATATATTGACTAGGCGTGGTGGAAAATTTGTGGGGAAACAGACGTAAATCTCACCTGTCAGTCTACGACGGGTGGTACGAAGAGGAACTCAATGAGGGGCCAGGAATAATAAGTGGCCAGTGGTCAGCTGAGGCTTATTAATTCTAGGCGACCGCTGGCTTTTACTCGGCCAATTAACGCCTCCCATTGTCCCAGAAAGGGTGCTGGCTTATATATCACATTACAAAGACTACAAGCTCATGAGTGGAAACTGACCGAGCTAAGGACAGACCGAGGAGTTCAAACGTTTCACACCGTTGTTGCGAATACTTCGCTCTCAGACTTCACTGCAGTCTGACTACCAGCTACCGAATGAGTTCCTAGACGGCTCGAGAGTAAATGGCAGGCTCGAACGTCCCATGATTGAAGCTCATTGTTCAAGTAGCGTATTTCTCCCGCTACAACAAGACACAAAACACTATAGACAACACGAATTTAGGAAACACACATAGACACACAGAGCCTTATCCAAATTCCACGAAATAATCGTCATACATGTTGCACAATAACAGCAATAGCACTCTACAGATATATATAGGTAGTGTGACTAAAACCTTTGGCAAAATTTGGCACACATGACTTCAATGCAAAATCATATAAGTAAACCTACACACAAAGCACTATCAGACTACCTCTAAGGCAGAAAAGCAACCATTAGAATTGACAATCACACAACACAAGTCCGTCGCTACAACTCCGCACAGGTGTTCCCGAAAGGGATTGTTTCTCCTCCACTCGATACAACTTCATGACCCAGGACCCTGACACCACTACTACCAACACCGATTTCTTAGCTTATGATGAGGATATAACCTAAATAACATCCGGACAAACCCTCAGAACTATGCAGCACGACCAACACAACACGTCATCCGACAGATCAATACATTCGAAAACAATAGCTGATTATAACAAACACCACTAAATTCAAAATCATTCCCATTAACAGAAGGACTAAATCAGGCACATTCATCGACAACACTCACATTCCACACATACAGCTGAATAGTATTGGGGTAAAAATCTACACCACGCAATTATCGGTACCATGTAACAGCCAGAAGAGCAATACCACTCACAAATCTGCAAGAGCAATACCACTCACAAAAATACGTAGCTTCTGCATTGAAACAGCTCTGAATTGAAACAGCCACTCGTGCACAGAAGTCAAATAAGAAAATTGGCCGTATGATTCAACAAAAACACACTGGTCAACGTGACATCTTTACAAACACTACGCGAACATTGTGACATCCCTAAGAAACACTACACGAACATTGTGACATCCCCAGCACATTCCTCCATGCACCAATCACGTAGAACCTGATCCACCAACAAGAACGTAAAACGGCAAAGATAGGACGTACGTACCTACTTCATCTTTGTTTAACTGCACTCAAAAAAGGTAATAAAGGAAATAAGGGACTACCACCCTCCCATCTTCCTCCCCTCCCGTGTAAATCATCCAAAGCCCCGACTGTTTTCCCTTCACCCTCAATCCAAACCAAACCCCCACATCCCTATATTCGACCCAGTTATGCGCGATGTGCCATTTTCATCTCACACTGTCTTCCATTTCTCCTTCCTCTTCTGGTCACTCTGCGCCACCTCTTGTTCTCTTCCACTTTTCCTAGCGGCACGTCAACAACAAAAACAGATCTACACTGGCGGAAGCCTATCATCTCTCTTGCATAAATGTTTTTTATCAGCCAAACAGTTTCATTAAAAATCATGGAAGTACCTTCTGAATCGCAAACTTATTATTATCATTTTAAAAATTGGCAAAAAATGAAAGATCAATTATGAAGTTGCTACAATTTGTGCTGCAAGTCCCTGAGCCTGTCAGGACAGATAGGCTGCGTCAAAATGAGTGCAGAAGCGATGTAAAGTCTGTACCTGTAATTGGCTCTTGAATTTTGCATCCTTCAATCGTTAGATGTGGGTGATGAGTAAGCTGGGATAAAAGGAACTGGGTTTAAATCAGGTAAATTAAGCTGGGTGTCGGAGGTTAAAAATACCAGATAAATAGCAGTCAGGTAATTGATATTACAAGCTGTAATGGAATGCCTCAAATATGTCCTATTTACGCTCATAAATTCATTCCGTCTTAGCCGTGAATTTTTTACTATTGTTTTAGAAAGAGAGCGGCTTTCCAATCACCAGACCTGCTTTGCTTAGGGAAATCGAAATAACTTCGTCCAGATTTTCTATCATCTTCAGGAACATCCAGGACCTTTTTCTTATTGGACTTGTAACAAAACGATTTTGATAGGCATTCATAGCGTTCGAAAATGTGTTCAATTTAGATATTCATTCAGATGACAATCATGTAGTTTCACGAACTGGACTGCATAAAGATCACTCAAGCGATCCGTTATTTTTAGTTAGCATATTCAATAGCGGTAAAAACACTGCATTATTTGTACTGCTTGTGCAAATTGTTGATCCAAATAGCGAACGCTTCCAGATTATGAAAAATAATGGTAAGCCCAGTTTTACTCTAAAACTCCATTAAAAAGTAATTTTTAATGACACGCCAAATAATGGACAGTTAGACGAGTAGCTTGTAACGAGTAAGACATTTTCGTTTAACTTCCATCATAGACTTGCAGGGTGGCCCAGTGGTTAAAGTTCAGAGTACCATGATTGGCACAGGGAGGCGCGGGTTCGATCCCTGCTCTGTGCGCCAGTTTCTGGTCAGAATCGGCGAGGAGGCCGGGCGGTTAAGCACAGCAAAATTAAAGCAGTGAATTGCGAGTTCAAGCCCGCAACAAGCTGTGAATGTTCTGCAATGTTAAGAATCGGCGACAGGCCTACGGCCTAATAAACGCTGAAACCGCTATTATTATTATTATTAACCACATTTTCTATCCACTCTTTAAATTGTGAGACAGCTGTGTAAATGATCGCTGTCTGGTTACAGCCCGGTATGATCTTGCCAGCTGACACCACGCCTGACACAGCCAAGACTTTTCGTTTAACTTCCATCATCAACCACATTTTCTATCCACTCTCTAAATTGTGAGACAGCTGTGTAAATGATCGCTGTCTGGCTGCAGCCCGGTATGATCTTGGCAGCTGACACCACGCCTGACACAGCCCAGCTCTCGGCGGAGTCGGGGCCCAGGTTCTGCATGCACGGCCCTCCGGACGAACCCCCCACAAGCTGATGCTTATTTTCTGAAAATTATACACAGATTATATGGGCAACTTAAGTTGTTTCTAACAAGAGGCCATACAAATTGATTTTAATTAATCCAATTTCAATAAATTGCATAACAACTTGCATGTTATTCTGCAATCACTGGGGACACATTTAGGAAGGATGCAATAGCCGTAGTCAATTTGCGTTGATATTACGTAAATTGTGTATTGCAACTACAAATGAGTTCCTATAGAAAATGCCATTTGTAGTAACCACTGCAGGTAGTTTCTATCGAAGTTTATTTCATATACCAGAACTATATTTGCTTGGTGATAGACGCTCTCCTTTCTACAGCCTTTACGATTCATGTACGCGATTAATTTAAGCCGAAGAATTATACTTTTTCATGAAATTGGGATCACAGTCACTGATTTTAAGCTCGAATAATAACAATACCAAGAATTTGGCAAAATTGTCTCACCCCCACCCAGGGGGGTGGGGGGCTCTCCCCATTTGACAAGAGTGTCTCAAGATTGTCTCACCCCCACTCTGACTGAGTGTCTCACCTAGGGCGAGCCCGCAGAACTGCGTTTCCTCGATGGCCGGGAACTTACACCAGGGGGCGGTAAACTCACAGTTCATGTCCAGCTGCTGCAGCACCACATCGTACTTGTGCTGTTTCTCACCGTTGGCGCGGCTGAACGCCTGGTTGTCGAAAGCTTTCATGAGTTAAACATTTTACTTTCTGCATCAGCGAAGCAGAGACTTTTGAGACGCCATGAGAGGAAAACACTGTGAAAACCATGCACACTGGAGGTTAATCGTCATCGTCGCTCGATATCTTTACCTTCATCATCCATCGTCATCTCTGCTCGATATCTTTATCGTCATCCACTTGTTAGTTGTTTCATGACAGCATCCTTAAACTCACGCAATTTTTATCAGTAACTAATTTTCTAATTCTATCTTCGGCAATATTTAAAACAACTACCACTAATGAACCTGCCACATATAAATAGGAGACCCAGTAATCAATTCCGGAAAGCGTGAACTCGCGCAAGTCTATCAGACATTAAATTGTTGGGACCGGCTTTTTCAGTAATCCAGAAAAGAATCTTCGACGCGTATCGCAGACTGATCTTCCAAGAAATTATTCTCAGACTAATTTTAACCATCGAAATCGATATTCATCTGCATACACAACCGACGAACGAATTCTCAAGCAATTGATCAGAAACAACATCTAATGTACAACCGACAACTACAGGCTACTCCTGATCCTATAAGAGAACTACGTTAACAATCCTCATCACAAGAAACAACACAGCGTCAAGTTTACAAAGCTTGAAGTAAATAAATCTTATACCCACATACACGTGTAACCACGGCGAGCCGCACAGGCGTTCGTACATCGGCATGATAATTACCCTATCAAGAACGCTCACAAGCAGGGTTGGCAATAATTAAATCAAAATGATTAAATCATGTGATTAAAGCACTTGATTTTTTTATAAAAAAATCATGATTTTTTTATTTTTTTTTTATTTTTTCATATATTTAAAAATATTGAGTGGCAGTCTTTAATTTATATTGAGGTATTGTTATTCACAGTTCAGTATAAATGTCCTATGAATGACAAATTGGTATATAAACTTGTTGCCTTTAGTGTGTATTAGGTTCCAATAAATTGAATGTTTTTGGTACAGAGACATAAAGTGTGCAATACATTGTACGTAGCTAGCAGCTTAGCTAATTCTTATAAGGCTATAAGTAGTCTTTAACTATTTGACTATTTGTTATATATTGATTACAATATACAATTTAAATGTGTTAGCTAGCTTATGCAGGGTGGGACAGAACTGATTGAACAGTTTTGAGGCAAAAAAAAAAAGAGTAATGGAGGTACATAAAGAAGAAAGTTTATTTTCCTCAAGATTAGCATAACATACCATTTAAAATACTGTACTTATGTTTTTGAAAACAATATCAGGAAGATGGTGTCTGTTAGCTGCATCACACTGTTGGAGTCGTTCTCGGAAGTTTCCTACAGCACGTTCACACATATGGCGAGGTATGGCCATAACATCTGCTGCAATAATCCGTTCCCTTAGCTGTGGTAGGGTGTGAGGGCGACTTCTGAACACCTTTCTTTTAGATGTCTCCAAAGAAAGAAATCACAAATGCTCAAATCAAGTGACCTCGCAGGCCACTGTAAATCACCCCTCAGAGACACCAGACGTCCGGGAAAAATGTGTCTCAAAACATTGAGTGACATTCGGGCTGTGTGAGCTGTAGCCCCATCCTGCTGGAACCACACGTCTCCCAATGCTTAATTTTCATTAATGTTTTCCATCCTGGGCTGTAATAAATTTTGCAACATTGCAGCATAGCGATCGGAATTCACTGTATATGGTTACTCCCTCCTCTGAGAACGACTCCAACAGTGTGTTGCAGCTATCGGCCCCCAGCTTCCAGATATTGTTTTCAAAACATAAGTATTCTAAATGGTATGTTATGCTAACCTCTAGGAAAATAAACTTTCTTCCTTATGTACCTCCATTACTCTTTTATTTTACCTCAAAACTGCTCAATCGGTTCTGCCCCACCCTGTATATTGAGAGGTTGAGATTGTATTGACCTTTTAGGCAATTAGAAAGATTTTCCACCCTAATACGAGTATTCCAATTAAAATATTTAATTACAATCCTTAAATATGTGAATTTAAAACTAGAAACAAAACAATTACAATTATAAGACTATATATAAAATAATAAAATGCAGTGAATGGATATAAAATATTTGAATTGTGCACATGTTTATTTCAAACAGTGTTAGATTTTCTCTTAACTTGAGTCTCGTTTCAAGTCGTATGAGGTTTGTTTGGTTATCGTTCAGTTTATGTTTAGTATTGGTTTATTGGTCAGAATTAAATGGGAACAGTGCAGTCAGTTACTCAGTCACTACTAGTTGGTGTGTATAGAGGTTAGAGTCTGGTAGATTTATAGGACATAAAACTAGTAGATCTATTGATAGTGCTGTGCACTGTGCTATCAGCTACCTATCTGTTATGTGACTCTTCAATGTTTAGAAGATTTGCAATCCTGAAGTGTTTTTGTATATTGAAGCCAGTTAAATGGTCAATATTTAGCTCATTACCTTGCTCCATACAAACTTTACAAAGCTGATGAATAGACTTATCAATAATTGTTTACCTCAAAATCCCTAAGTGGTAAACACCACCTTGGCCTGTTGGCCATTATTGAAGGCAATAAGTGCCCTTTTTAGCCATCCATTATGATCCATATACTGTTATTGTTAGTAGGCTAATTGCAACATAAAAAATAACACTTCAAGAAGACAAGAAAGCTGAAAAAATAAAAAAATCAAATAAATAAAAAAATAATGAAAAAATAATTGATTTTTGATTTTTTTTATTTAAAAAAAATAAAAAAAAATCACCAATCCTGCTCACAATGCATTTAGCTTCTGGAGGAGCCAAAAAAAAAAACGCATACAATGGACTGCCACAATACCAGATAAACCCGGGAGCAACTGGCACAGAATACAGAAAAATCTATCTCACGAACCGGACTTCAGCAGACTACATATAATGGAATCAATTTTAATTCTACACAACAATCCAAGCCTAAACGAACCAATCAGTTGGATCACAGCGCGCCACGAATCTTCACAGCTGGAATAACTGCACACTGTGTAATTATTGACCAAAACACACTATAATATTTATTTACAAAAATCGTAGAGGTATGGCAATCGACGTTCAAAGTTTGAATTGTACGATTCGTCCATTATACCAACCAGCACCGAAGATTCCGAGAGGATGCCTTCTCCGTAGAGGTCTATGCAGGCTGGGTACATTTCCTCACTGAACGTCAAGGGATTATCCAGCCTCACCAAAGCGATGTCATTGAGTGGGTTTGTAGTCCTTGTCCCAGGCTTGTAGTCGGGATGAAGAACCACTCTTGCCACCTTTTTTGTACAGAGAGAAGGCTTTGAGCCAGACTTTGACACTCTTGTTGGGATTATTGATAGAAACAAAAATTGCTGACATTAAATTCAGCTCGGAAATGTCGACACAAAAAACTGAGATTTGATCAGAGTGCAAAATAGAGGCTAATAACTTAGACAGTAGAACCGACTTACGTATCTATCGTTATGATTGGCTGTTGCTCGTTGCACCCTTAGGTCGCGAACGTCTACGGTCTGGTTCCTGCTCTCCTGCGACCTGCGGCACCCAGGATGCATAAAAACTATCAATTGGCACGATAGAAGAAGCCGAATATTGTGATTCGCACTTGATTGATGCCAAATCGGGAAATTTTGTATAATGTTTCGATTGGTTTACATCTGCCGAATCAAGCAGGCGTATTGGTAAAGATAAAAATCACGTGGGTCTTCTCAGCATCTATAGGTATTGACATTAGCACAAAACACACGCAGCATAGCTGCAGATTGATTTGAAATGTATTCCACCATGCTTTCCCTACCACTGACCGAGCTAATGTCAGAGGAGGAACATCGGCGACATCCGCAACGCAGTCGACCATGTATTAGGTCAACCATGACGTTACACCATCTGACGGTTTAACCCTTTAACATCGTTTTTACGTTATAAGATATTTGTGGAGTAATTTCGCTATTATTCCAATGTTGCTTTGAGATCATTGCATATACTTTCGTTAAATTTGAGCCGCAAATTGCGCAAACCACACGACGGCTTAGCCTTAACCCTAACTCATGTGGATGAAGTGCTTGCCACTGGAAATAGTTGGTCATTGCAATCTCTTTGACCATTATTTCGAATTTTTCATCAAACTTGATCTTGTAGTGAACGCATCAAAATGTATTATTTCGTTTTGGGATTAATTTAATAATAAGTCATCTTCAGGGTAAATGTATATAAGTAGCTTGCACACACTTCTATTGGTTATTTAAAATAAACTGGAAAGACCAATGACTTTTTAGCTTAATCACCATCTAGAGATTCCACGACTGCAACACTACCTCGCCTATGCTAGATCACAGACTAGTCATTCGCATGGTTACCTTTCCTTGTATTACTTAAGAACACGAAAACGGGTATTTTGTCTGAGTAACTCCTCTTGTGGCTTCCCTCAAATGTCAAGATGTAAGAAGAAACACTGAAATCAAGTTTGTTTTGAGACATCCTGCAGCTGCCTGGGAGAACTTTTAGTTCAAATAAAATCTATTTTCTTGGCAAACCTTGGAACTAAACCTAGTGAGATCCCACAATCTCACACATTTTAGTTAGAGATCCCCTGGAGGCACATATAGACATACTGTAAATGATTGTGTTGTTTCAGGAAAGGGCATATAGACAGATTATAATCTTGACCTATTGTCGCTTCCTCCAGCATTGCTTTCGATTAATCCACTATATAATTTCTACCACTATATTAATGTGAATCTTAAACGGCAATTCTTGCTGGGTGACGCCTGTCGGAAACCACTACTGCCGTGCTTCGAATGGACTATCATGATCCCTTCCCTGAAGAACGTAGCCTACAACACATCTTGACTGTAACATTATCAACCGCACGCCACCTGATAGATCACATCAATTGAATTAGATCAATCAGCCCACAGGAAAATAAGCCTGGCGTCGTATGGCCCAGCGTCGTCTGCCAACACGCGAAAAAATTTTACACCACCCAGACGGAGCGCGCCGGAGCCGTCCGTATCTGTCCCGTGTGTCGAATCAGCCGACGGTCGAACGGCCACGCGTCGTACGACGATAAATTTTGGAACAGAACTATGCTATCTGGAACCTAACCCCTGATGCTGTGAGCTAAAAGTTACGTAATTTAGCGAAGCTGCGGAAGTCACTCGCCGGCGGACGATAGAGTTTGGAACAGAACTATGCTTTCTAAAACCTAACCCCGGATGTTGACCTAAAAGTGACGGTCTGGTGGTGCACGGCAGGATGCATGCAGTTCCACTGGCGACCTGGGCTGGTTGGTCGCAGTCCACTGTCCGCAAGTTACAGTTCGAGCTAAAGTCAGGGTATGAAGTGATGATTCGATGCAACGTTCAGTGGTGCATAACCATTACTCTCTGGGCTATTCGTTTCAGAATGTGGTGGCGTAATGCTCCTAATATTTAAGCAAGTTGATGTCACGGGCTGTTTACCGACGGATGACTTAATCCGCGGCTGATTGGTGATCATCCGGAAATATGCTAGGCGTTCCTTTCAAGGCTGCTTGGTGCACAAATATAGTGGTGCACGGCTGCGTACCCGTACTCGAGCTTTCCGGTGCGCCCATACGTCTCGTTTCATGTAGTTTTGGCATTGGCGGGCAATGAACCCACAGACAATGAAATAAAAAAAGCTTGGATCAAATAAACTCATAAAGAAACCAGTTATGAAGATGCACTTGCACCAGTAATGAAGATGCACATAATCGGGCGCAAAAGATGCACCTGTTTATAGGAACACGCACACGTAAATAATTTATACTGTCTCCTCACCACCGATAGCATCACCACGATATCGAGCGGTCGGAATTGTCGTACACGGAAATGGCTCTGCTTGAGACCAGATATTCGGTCCTTTCTTTCTCATAATTTTTAAAAATGGATTCGAGTTCACAATTGTGAGTTTGAAGAATGAATTTGATAGGAAACATTTTAAATTAATGACTGATAAAATAATGGCGGCGTATTTAAAATGGGAAAACCCTAAAAAATACTCAACAGAAATTAGGGCAGAAATCACTTGCAGCCGAGTTAGTAGCGTGACACAAAAACCCGTGGCGATTAGGGTTAAGCTTTACAACCGTGTACACCGATTATCGGCTCGGCCTTGAACCTAAACCAAATCTAAATAAATATTTGCTACAAGAAATAATACCTTATTATGACAACTACGTCCGTTAATTAGGATTTTTATCATATTGATTAAAGAAGAGAAAAGCAATGTGGGTAATAATCTGGCAATGATGGGCAACGGTTTGTAACAGTTGCCAGATAGTACCAACCTACTATTTGCGGCTAATTATTCCATTCAAATAGTATATTCACTTTTGCTATTATGTATCAGCTCATTCATTTATTTATTAGCTCATTAGGAATGATAAATTAATTATAACTAATAATACTTATTAACAATTAATATTGTGTACAAATGAGCAGTATATGGAGAAAGTACCTAATTGTACCCCGCGGCTGCACGTGGCCTGCTGGTGGTGATGGGATTGGGATCTGATTTCTGCCCTAATTTCTGTTAAGTATTTTTACCGTTGCCAATCATTGCCAGATTATTACCCACATTACTTTTCTCTTCTTTAATCAATATGATAAAAATCATAATTAACGGTCGTTACTCCACGAATATCTTATAACGTAAAAACGATGTTAGAGGGTTAAGCCGTATGGTTATTTCAAATCTCTAATTGTTCCTACAGTGAAGAATAAGGCAAATATATTATATACATAAATTTTGGCCCAAAAGTTGCTTTTCCTGAAGTTAAGATGTAAAAAGTTAGGTTGAATAGTTTTTGATTTATTATGCGTGAGAGATTTACCGTGTCCCAAGTAAGCTAAGACTTCGGGTGTAGGCTGGAGTTCCCGGCTTCGATCCCAGGTAAGGTTGAAGATTCTTCCAGTGGAAAATTAAAGGTAAATGAATACATAGGGTTATTAATAGCTACTTGCTATACGATCCTCATATATGATGTAGTAATTGTCCAGCTAAGGATGTCAAATGCAAAAACTGTAACAAAGTAGGACATTTCGCCAAAGTTTGTAAATCTAGGACTTCTTTTGCTACAACAGCCATGTTCTATCGTGGGGATCGTACCGTCAATTCTCACGACACCCACGAAACGTTACCAATTGTATTGGCACTAGGTGCGCCGTATCCTACTTGTTTGTCTCGTGCAGCAACTACGGTAACAGTGAAGGGCATGAAGATTAGTGCATTGGTAGATTCCTGTAGTTCAGATAGCTTCATTCATGCAAACTCTGCAAATGTGCTTGGGCTCAAAGTCGTCTCATGCCCCCAAGAGATCTCTATGGCAACAATGTCACATAGTGTTAAGTCGCTAGGATATTGCTACCTCGATATAACTCTGGATGAACAACGCTACCCAGGTACGCGCCTGGGCGTTTTGAATGATTTGTGTTGTGAAATTTTATTGGGGGCAGAACTTCCAGCAGCAACATAAGAGTCTAGGCGTTCTTTGACATTTGTGTACGGAGGCGGAAAACCCCCAATGGTTGTTGACAATAGTAGTGGGAGCTGTGCGCTTACGGCTGCTGCTGTGCCAGAGCCACACCTGTTCCCTAACTTGCCACCTAATTGTAAGCCTATAGCTGCTAAATCCCGACGTTTTAGCAAGGACGACCAGGAATTCATTGCCGAGCAGGTGTCCCTCCTGCTCAAAGAGGGCATCATTGAGACCAGCACCTCTCCATGGAGGGCGCAGATTGTTGTCGCTAGAGACCCTGCGAACCGGCATAAGAAACGAATGTGCGTAGACTATTCTCAGACCATCAACCAATATACCGAACTAGATGCGTACCCGTTACCTAGAATCGATGATATGATGAACAAGCTTGCTGGTTACAAAGTATTTTCAACATTTGATCTTAGAAGCGCATATCATCAGTTAGAGATTCGTGATGAAGACAAAAAGTTTACTGCATTTGAAGCAAATGGAAGGCTTTACCAATATTCCAGAATCCCATTCGGTGTGACAAATGGCGTGGCAGTGTTTCAGCGCGCAATGGACAAGATAGTCGAAGATGAAAACCTAAAGTGCACCTTCCCTGACAACATTACTGTGGCCGGAAGAACTCAAGCGGAACACGATTATAATCTGCAACGATTTATGCAAGCGATCAAGCGTCGAAATATGACGCTTAATGAATCTAAAACTATAAAATCAGTGCCGAACGTCGATATTCTTGGTTATTGCGTGGGAAACGGAGTCATTAAACCGGACTCGGAGAGACTTCGTTCTCTTCAAGAGCTCCCACCACCAACAAACAAGTCTTCCTTGCAGAGAGCTCTGGGTATGTTTGCTTACTATGCGAAATGGATTGAAAATTTTTCAGACAAGATTAATCCGCTGGTCGACTCCAAATCCTTTCCACTCTCCCAAAGCGCCCTGTCAGCATTCGGAAACCTGAAGGCTGAACTAGCCAGCGCAACTCTAAGGTCAATTGACGAGGAACTGCCGTTTGTGGTGGAATGCGATGCTTCAGAAGTTGCGGTGTCAGCAGTCTTGAACCAGGGTGGACGTCCAGTTGCCTTCATGTCAAGAACTCTACATGGGAGTGAATTGCACTACCCAGCAGTCGAGAAGGAAGCAACGGCCATCGTGGAAGCGGTGCGTAAATGGAGCCATCTGGCTAGACGTCCATTCACATTGATCACGAATCAACGTTCAGTTGCCTTCATGTTGGACAGAAGGAAAAGGACAAAGTTAAAGAACAACAAGATACAATTGTGGAGATTGGAGCTTGCATCATTCAGCTACTCGATAAAATATCGTCCAGGGAAGGATAATGTAACGGCAGATGCTCTAACAAGGGCTTTTTGCTGTTCCGCCCCCTCGTCATCAACGCTCGTTGAAATTCATAATGGACTTAGTCATCCAGGGGTTAGACGACTGCTACACTTCGTTAGACTGAAGAACCTCCCATTCTCAACCGAAGATGTTAAACGTACATGTGCTTCATGCAAAATTTGTGCTGAATTGAAACTTCGTTTCTTCAGTCCTCCAAATGGAACCCTCATGAAAGCCACCCAGCCAATGGAGCGCTTAAGCATCGACTTCAAGGGACCTCTTCCATCAGCTACGAAAAATACATACATCCTCACATTAGTAGATAAATATTCCCGCTTCCCCTTCGCTTTCCCATGCCCTAATACTCCATGCTCCACGGTGATAAAATGTCTGGAAACCGTCTTCACCCTCTGTGGTATGCCTAACTACATCCATTCAGACAGGGGTTCTTCCTTCATGTCTTCGGAACTTAAAGAATACCTGTCGCAGAAACGAGTGGCTACAAGTAGAACTACTCTTTATCATAGTATAGGCAACGCACAGTGCGAAAGGTATAATGGAATTATATGGAAGTCGGTACAACTTACATTGAAAACTTACCATTTGGCAGAGCATCAATGGGAAACGGCGCTGCCGATCGCATTGCACTCAATCCGTTATCTGCTTTCAACTTCAACGAATGCCACACCACATGAACGGTTCTTTGCTTTGCACAGAAGACCATCACATGGTGTTTCGCTTCCATCCTGGTTAGGATCACCAGGCCCAGTTCTTCTTAGAAGATTCATTTGTCATTCTAAGCAAGATCAACTGGTAGACGAAGTGGAGCTCTTGGATGTTAATCCAACGTACGCTCAGATAAGGCACAAAGACGGTCGGGAATCGACCGTTTCGGTGCGGGACTTGGCTCCATGTTCACAAAGTACACAGCCAGATTTGCAAGAACCCGAAACTTCGACAGAAAATGCTTCACCAGAAGCGGACCGCATCAAGAGGGATTCTGAAGGAGAGGTGGTTCCAACTGGAACAGATTCAGTTGAAGGAAATTACCAAACAGTACCCTCGGTTACTTTAAGGAGATCTTCTCGTCCGTCCAAGCCTCCAAAGCGATACGGTTTTGAATAAATAGCTTCGTAGGCGGACGTATTTCCTGTTTCGTTTGCGTTTACTATAGTTTAATTGTTCTCCTATGTATCCTGCTTCACAATATGATCAATTCGTTCATGTGTCCATAATAAACCGACTACCTTTGGTTTACATTTTTCAGGCGGGAAGAATGTCATGAAATTTCTGTTGTAGCTCCCACATGTACCTAGAATTCCGTACTATAGTTCCTACTAGTAAGTTACTTCGCTCTAGAACTAATGACCATTGTTAGCATTGACTCGGCTCTTGTACGTTCAAGACCTACAACTACTGTTCTCCTTCTAAGTATTCTGTAAATAGTTTCGTTATGTGTAAGACCTTCACATATGAATATATTCTTATTACGTTACCGTTTTCCTGTTTTATAGTAGTGTTATTTTGTTCCAGGATGTTACGTTCTTGTTGAATAAAGCTCTTGATGAGTTATCTCCGCTTTTGCTTACAACAACTACATGACAATAGTTGGATAATTAAATAGGGTCGATTCAAATTTAAAAAACAACCTTTTATCGATGTGATTTTAACGTGACAATTTCAATGTTGAGACATCGTCGTACTAGTTCTGTAATTTCAAAGTTTAATGCAACGTCAACGCGACGTTGCGTGAATTACACTAATTAAATTTTCATTCTGGACTTGTATTCAACAGGATTTCAACGTCGCGAATGACGGTTGCTCCAACGTTTACTTAACCAGGCAATGCCTGCTGGAATATGCTTATATTATATATCTCTGCTAGGTCGAGGGAGAGTGCAATTTGTACAGTGCTCTTAGCCTTCTGAATCCTTATGTCTGAGGTCGAGTAAGTTTTTTATGTAAAGGTGATCATAAAGTCAGTTTTTAAGTATTTTGTCTACTATATCATTTATTTCATTTTTATTCAGGAAAATAACAATTAAATACGTTGAAGTTCGAAATCACCAGTTTACCCTACAGACCACTTGAGATCGTATATTCGACTCGGAACAACTGCACGTGGTACTGAGCACAATCTCAATTGTGGGCACTTATTGCTGTACTTATTATCTCAACTTTTGGACCAGCGTCAGGCACCAACGTAGGTGTGGACGGAGACGTCCAGAATCTTTTACGAGGTATCAGATTCTAAGACAGCTTTAGTGAGCAACCTCGATTCCTGCTGAGGCAGAATTGCGCAGAAATCATGTCTGCTGATGCAGTGCGCAGCAGTAAGCAGCCATGAATCCTGATAACGTATGAATTATACTTGATGACGCAGTGCGCAACGATGATTCCTGATAAAACAGGAATCATACCTTATGACGCAGTGCACAACAGTAAGCAGCCATGAATTGATTAGGTATAAATTATACCTGACGACACAGTGCGCCGCAGTAAGCAGCCATGATTCACTGATGAGAGTGGCGCTGCACTCATAGCGCTCTCTCTTCTTGAGCCCCAGCACCCACGGGAAGAGATTGCGCTGGTTGTAGAATTCATTTAATCCCAGTCTACTCCCACCAGTGCTGCGGTAGCGAGGCCTCCGCCCACAAACTGCGCAGAGCAATCGAATCGAACTAAAATTATGTTAAACATCTACAGTCCCAACTACACCATTACTTACAAGCGATACAATCTTCATCATTGTTTCAATCAATATTCATCATTGTTATCAAGGCAGGATGGCCCAGTGGTTAGGGCAGGGTGGTCCAGTGGTTACAGTTCAGAGTAGCAAGATTGGCGCGGGTTCGATCCCAGCTCTGTGCGCCAGTTTCTGGTCAGAATCGGCAAGGAGGCCGGGCGGTTAAGCAATGCAGAATTGTAGCAGTGAGTTGTAAGTTCGAGACCGCAAAATGCTGTGAATGTTCTGCGATGTTAATAATCGGCGACAGGCTTATGGCCCAATAAACGCTGAAACCGCTATTATATATATATTATATCACCTTCACCGAAAGATCATCCTATTACAAAAATTACATGAAATAAATAGAACGAAAACAAATTAATAATGAAGCGAAAACGCCTTCAGAGTACTGTCATCTTAATTTCCAGGCATTATTCGCTGATGCATATATTTCAAATATTGAACCATTACCCTTCACTCCTCTGTGTGAACAATTCATCGGCCGTGATGGGATCGCTCCCTTCCCCAACTCTAACCCCATAACCTATTATAAACCTAATCATGCGCGATGTGCGCCTAGTATCCTAATGTTTAAATTTTTGTTTCTCTTTCTTGCCACTCTGACATCCTTGTTTTCCCACTCTCTCCTATGGGCACCTCAGCATCAACTGTAAGGTATTTCAATTCGATTTTCTTCATTGTTACATGTCATTCGATCAGAATGCATGTAATTATAAATAAATACTATAATTATATGTTAATTAATATTGAATTATTATCTTAATTATGTGTATAAATATATGTTGGGCAAATAACGTGCAATAAACTCATAAACTGCGGTATACTCACTAGGGGAGTTGAGATGACGGGGCTGACAGACGTACGGTGTGCGCGGCTCGGTGGCGTTGGCAACAGCTTCCCCGTACAACCCCCACAGCCCGTCGCTGTGGCACCTGAAGCCATCTTATAGTGAATGAAAGTAGCATCGTCAGTCTTCTGGTCATTGCTACTTGTGTCCTGACAAGAGCGTTCGCTATATTTGAAATGACAAATGAGCCTCTCTCTATCAGGCTCGTTTCAAGACGAGCCGCTCACCTTCAAGCTCGGTCCAAGACGAGCTGCTCATCTAGAGAGGCGCTGGAGAAATGTATTTACCAGTCTTCTATTTAAATTTTGACAAGATAAATACACGGGTTTTGCAATAAATTTATTAATATGTCTCACATTGGATTTAAACAGACCAAAATCTTTAATGTGATTTTTGTATGAATGGTTTGGTAAATTGAACGATGTTAAAATGTCTTCCCTCGATAAAATGCCGAATGTTGTATGAGCATCCATTTGCTACCAGCTGGAACAAGCGTGATCCCCGTGTCCAAATACGTGATTCCCGTGTCATATCGTCTCTTATCCTGATAAATATTTATTCAATAAGCGTTTTTAATTTATAACTCATACGGAGGGTAGTCGACATCAATATTAATCGTACTGTTTGGTCCATAAATTCGAAATCATTCCTACCCGTTCGACGAAACCAGCGATAACTTTTGGGCAGCAACTTGTATCATTATACAAATTAGATTCCCATTTGCTTGAAAAAATATACCATAAATCTTCACTCTTGTAAATGCTTTGTGACGAAGATATTCAGAAATGTCTGTAATGAGCTTACAAAGCAATCTACAAAAGTTATTTCCAATTAATTGGGGTTCAAGCACGACTGCTTGACCACTATCTACATATCTATCTATATTGTGGCACTGAGGTCCGAGCTATTGTACCGTCGTCAGCACCTATGGTAATTAATCAAATAAAATGAAAGGATTCGGTATATGACCGATCACTCTGACGCTATGAGCGCAACGAGTGAACAGAACGAATAGATGCCTAGTATCTCTCATGCAGCCCATCCCACGAAATTATAACATTGCTATAAATTCGTGGGATGGGCTGACGATCTAAGGCTTATTCGCACACTAAGCAGCGTTCACTTTTTCAATAAAAAGGCATCTCCAGACGCCACTATGAGATGAGACGCACAACGCAACACCTGCTTCTACTGGAATATTTTGGAGTATCAAAATAGTGGAATGCCGAGTTCAGAATTGTTCTTACGCCAGTAGATGCTATAGGATCCATCAAACCACTGACTAAGGCAACACATCTTTTCAGCTACTTTTTCCCCCGCTCTACCATTATACCTCACTAACCATTGTCGCACATCACCAGGATCTCACGTTCTCTTTCTCTCTCTAACTTTCTGTCTCGTTTCGGTCACCGCAACCATTACTCGACATCACATCAGCCTCTCAATTTATGCACACGCCCGTAATATCCCTTTTATTCTCTGTGATTGAAATGTTTGCTTTAATCCCGTCATTATCAATACGGGTTAAAAGGCAATTAACGTTTCACCTCTCACCTGAGAGCGAGGGTGGCGCTGCCCCAGCAATCAGCCACGATCACCGTCAGCACAGGTACCTTCTTCTTGTCGCATCTACCAACGGGTAAAAGCGTGTTGCTTCATACATTAAATGCCATCACATATGGACACCTGTTGTAAATATAGTATAGTACTGTTATGTAAACTAAGAGCTGAAATCGTGATATTTCTCGGATAAGTAATTTCATGTTGATGTACTCGTCCTTGACTGACAAGATTCTTATGAAAAATAATTATGGCGAGGTACATAATTTTAGTTTGAAATTGTTCTCTATTATCAATAGAGAAAATTTAAGAGTTTTCTAAGTGCGGAAACATAAATCTTGAATTTATTTCTGGGCGGTTATTACAATTTTGGATTACATACAACCTGCAACAATAAATTCCCGCTCAAATTACCTAGCTTTCCATTAGCGGTAAAAAGCTTCGTTAATAGCTTTAATAAAACTTCAAGAACTGGGAGCTTGGAAATGAGTGAAGATAGTTTCGTACATTCGCTTATCTTCATGAATGGAGATTCTTTTATATCAAAATAGTCAGAAATTATTGCGCTTGATATTGACGAAGGCTCGTTACTCGAATCGTCACCAACTTCAATAGAAGAGTCTTCTATAAAGCGATTTCCAAATAAGTACACAAACCTAGAAGTTCTTTCAAAGGACCCGAAGTTCCTGAAATAGAAAAAAACGATACATCAGTCAGGCTCATATTAATGAAACAACAATATTAGGTTTATTCATATAATTATGCCACGGTTACGCTCATTAGTAACGTTATATTTGATGTTTCGTCAGAGTAGGCGAGCCGACATTCTCGGTGCACTTTTATAAACTATCTCTACGTTCATGTTCTCCATTGGACCAGCGAGTTAGGAAAGCACTGACTAACTAATTACGTAGGAACTAGGAATTTCTTTATAAGGCCAACTCACATCGGCAGACCCTCGCCTCCGCAGCTCGCCACGCTGATGCCCACGCCTATCGTCTTCTCCACTGAGCAGAGAGGCTCGTCGGACACTAAGACGGATTTTTTTTTAATCATTTATCAAATATATTGTGAGATTAAGTCAGGTAAATGGGATTTTACAGAGTAAAATCAGATCTCAAAGGAAATTTAGATCACTTAAATTCCGGTTCCAGATGAAAAGCAATATCAACGTTTTCCGATAAAAGTTGCGCATCCGAAAATTTGATTTAAAACAAAAACATAGCGTTTAGTTTTTCAAAACTTAAATCTGCTTCTCCAATTTTCGGATTTTTTTCCTTCCTCGATACAGTCTGGAGTGTATGTGTGAGTATAAATTGACTTTCAGAAACGTATTGAACATCATTTCACGACTGAACAATTTACTAAACACTCTAGCATCTCAACCTTACGTCGAAAATGATCTCACTCAATTTTTCGCACGTGCTCCGGACGTCGAGCAGTTCGTGACAGGGTAAACACACGTGCTCCATGCCAGACACTGTGCACGGGCACAAGGGGGCGTCACAGCGGGACTGCGACCCATCTACAGCTGAAAGTCCGAAATGAATATTTGGAATTTCTTGAGGCCTCGCATGGTCCACGATGTCAACACGACTGCCTTCAGTTGAAAGTTCGACATGTCCTGTTGAAGAAATGAATTTAGGGTTAATTTAATCTAAATAAGATTCATTTAGTGAAAATCATTCCTATACTAGATTTTGCGATCGAAAGCTCATTTTCCCATTCATTTATTCCAAATTAAGAATTGCGTCCATGTCGCTCATTTCGTGCTGCGTTCATTCTCCAAGCTTTTTCTCTTGGAGATGCGGAGTGTTCCAAGAAGGAGCTGAACACAACCTCAAACGTTCTTCATTCACGTAGATTGGTCAGTCTTGCAAATCTTCTCATAGGTGACTGTTCGAGTCTCTTTCAATCCGTATTAGCCTGTCGACCATTTGATATGCAATAACACTTCGGACGCACGTCGGTGGTTAGTCGCAGCCCAACTCTCCCACCCCTCAATCCTTCTAACCTTCGCGACTTCCACCGCAGGACGTTTCCCCTTCACTAGGCCAGGAATGGATTACTGGCATTAACCCTTTAACGCCCGGGTGTACCGTACGGTTGCCTTTCAAACATGCTTTGTATTATTATAATATTATCATTATAATATTGTTGTTGTGATAAAGAATTGGCGCTAGTTGTTTTGAACGTGTTCGGTAAGCGTCCCTGCATTGTTTCGGTCGTGCAATTCTGCTCTTTGCCCCCAACTACGCAGTACAGCGCTAATCTTGTTGAGAATCCGTGGTGCCATTCACATGTTGAACTTTCTAAATCTTTATTGGGCTATTGAGGTAATATGGGGAAAGTTTTGGCTTTGAAATAATTCTTTTTTTTTGTGTAGCACAATAGGAAGTAGATTTGTGGTTTTATCTGCTTGTGAAGAGGTGGTTCATCAGCTATACCCCGTCGAAAAAATTACGTGACAGAAGTCTTTGTCCTATTTGCCGCCTCACGGCTGCTTTGTGATAGACTGCCCGAAATTTGCCATTTATACAAGCCTCCGACTACCAGGTTCCCCAAACTTTGAACTGCATGTTTTTGGACCTAATCTAGACTACAACGGGAGATGCTGTAACGACATCGTATGTGCCCATGAGTTTTGCACAATTGGACAACAGACTCTAACATCCCATCTTTTAATGTTCGAGACACGCAATTAGTAGTTCCGTCAGCAATAGCAAGTGACCTTTTTGTTCGGTTAGGCTCAAATAGACACGCATAGCATTCTCGGTCTTTCTATCAAATATTTCTATTCTAGTGTCTGCTGAGAATTAGGTATTATATCTAGGGACATGCACTCGTGTGAAGCACAGATTTCAGTGAAGGCCATGCACAGTTTCTTATTCCTTGACCTCTATACATTTTACCTTGTAACATTTTTTGCGAACTCTGTGTTTAGTATTTTGTATGGGTGCGCGCAATTTGATCACCGTGTCGAGTCATAACCTCCATGCAATGCGTAAATGATAGAATAGAATAGTGGTGTCGGCGTTGAAAAAATAGGCCCATGGACTGTTGCCGATTCTTGAACTTTTCGTGACTTGATTCACAAGGGATCCGGCCTTTGGAACCCGATCTTGCTATAGCTGACGATTGATTGAGATAGCTGCTGGACTTATTGCCTGATCCGTAATTTGCTAGGCATTTTAAGACTGAACATATGCTCCTGCATAGCTTCGTCTAGTCCGTTTTTGAAGATGTTCATACTCGGAGCTTCAACGATGCTATCAGGAAGGCTGTTCCACATGTCGGTGACTCGAAGCGAGAAGAAATGTTTTTATTGCCGGGAGATCCTGCACCACTAACCTCTTGTCGACTCTGAACGAATGGACCCGCCTGCTGGACGAAAGGGAGCCAGTAGATGCAGTGTACCTCGATTTTGCCAAGGCATTTGACAGTGTCCCACATGAGCGGTTGTTGCGTAAATTGAAGTCTTTGGGAATTGAGAGTAATGTACTCAAATGGATCAGAGATTTTCTAGTAGGGAGGCGACAACGTGTCAGTATTAATGGGTCCGCATCAGACTGGGCTTCAGTGCGCAGCGGCATGCCGATAATTCAAATAAAATTTGATAAAGGTCTGACTGAGTTCTACTGAACTCCATGCATTTTTTACGATTTTGCATCCCTGTGAGCAACATGTTGCGACACAAGGACGTAAAAAGTCTTTTTCTCTGGGACTGATGAACCAGCCCTCGATATGCTAGCTCCTGCAACAAGCTCTTCTAGATCTCCATTCCTATATTTAAACCAGATATTTCAGTCACTTTGATCGCTTCGTGCGCCCCTTTGCGCTGCGCGCATGGTGGTGGTACACGTGCGTCCTTTTGACAGCAGGGTACACGGATACCTGTCGCAACCAGCATCATGTGCCACATGTAGTGAATGATACACCGTATCTCTTAAAAATATTATTTCCACTTACCGAATCGCTTTTTTGTCAGAACAAACTTCTAGTATTGAAGAGAAATGACCGAAAAAATTTTATTATCAATGTGTTAAGGCTGAGGGTGTATACACCCTCTTCAGAGGGTGTATACACCCTCTTCAGAGGGTGTATAGACCCTCTTCAAATAACGTATGATATCCTAATATCTTCATTTGACCACTCTTCGTTCCCATGGTGCTGCTTGGAAATTCCACTCTTTCAACGGTAACTCTACCTGGTCCACCGGAGCAGTTCATCTCCACCCCATTCTGGATTCTTGCGTTGGTTTGCTTCCCCGTCTTCCCAACAAGTCACTCACTATACAATACAAGTCACTATTCAGAAGAGATTAATCACTTTACAATACAACACCTGCATATTTATGTACATATACAGAAAACCGTACACGTCCTATCTAGACATACATAAGACACTCTAAATTAATACAGTAAGACTAAACACAACGGATTTAGTGCACGCGCCCATCTAAGAAGCACAAAAGTAATCCAACAGTACCAAGAGAAAAATTGTCCTGGTGTGGAAGCCTATCATTTACAGAGCCGCAAAACTCGGAAAAAATAGACGAGAGAGTAAAACTCAGCATAGCCCATATCAAAGCCTCACCTACGTTCTAACATACACAGCACACACTAGAAGCAAATAAGATGAAGACGACACAGTGAATAAATTCCGCGCCTCCACTAACGCCAAACTCGGACGCATATGCGTTGTCATGACAGCTTACCTCCTGTAGTCCAGATTAGGTACAAAAATTGGCAGTACAAAGTTTGGAGGACCTGGTGGCTGGAGTCTTTCTAAAATAATGAATTTGGGCAATTGATCACAAAGCAGCCGTGTTTCAGTGGCTGTGGTATTGCAATGGGCACTGACTTTGGCCTGTGAGCGTCAGTTATGACTGCATAAAATTTCAAAATAAAATACATCTGTGATATTATTAACACCGACAAGATTTGGGCGTACTTTCTACACACAGCCAACATATTAAATGATAAAGAACTTTGAGTAAACTGGTGATAATATTTTGCTTGGCCAACAAACGACCGCGTCTTTAATCAAACCGGTATGTTCTACAGGAGCAATGGTTTTAATACCGCCGCTAGGGAGTATTAAAACCCATATTAGATTTATGACTTTACCCATATTAGACGGGAACGACCTACGTACGTATTTTTACTCATTAATTAAGTTTTGTTCAGCTATTAATTAATGATTAATCGAGATAATTTATGTTTCGTAAATTCTCTCACCTGGTGGTCGCGTCGTAACGCTTGTTGCCTCAGCCGCCGAACAGGCGTAGTAAGAGTCAGCGGCACAGCTCTGTACCTGCGGGAAGTTATTCGTATTTGATAGTTATCACAATTCAGAAGTAATAATTAGACACGATTGAGGGCATCCACGACCAAATCCTGTACAAAACTTTTGATCCTTGAGAATGAATAAACAGGTTAAAGTCTAAACAAATAAACCTTAAATTATTTTTTTCTCTTCACTAGGTGGCGGCTCTCGGTGCTCAGGATGAGATACATTCCCTTATTTTCGCAGACGAGACGTCACCGAACAAATATTGGTCGGAGTCCGAGACTGAGAAGTAGGTTCCGGCATTAAGACATAATGCCCTGGATTTCAAACACAATGATAAATTTCACTTAGAATCTGAGGTAGAATTATCTGAAACTGATAAAACAAGAAAGGTTGCCATGCCCACTCCGTCTAAAAAGGGGAAAATTAAAGGGAGACATTTCCCGAAACAGGGAGATATTGGAGGGACACATTTCCCCGAAAAATTTGCCGATCCACCGAGAAAGAATATAGTTCCTGCAAGTCCACCAATGTTATCTACCGCAGACGAGCCAGATACAGATTCCTCAGAAGCACCTAGTATAAGGGGGCAACCACTTCAACGAACTCCGATTTTGGGCTGATATACGATGATGGAAACCCGAATTACCCGACCACTCCTGCGCAGGATATACTGCTTTCGTTATGAGCTACGACAACGCAACTGTTGCACCGCTACAATCTGCATGAGGACGAATCGTCCGCGCCAGATGAAACTCCGTACCTTGATGTAAGTGTGGCGGTGCCAGAAGCGTACTTCGGATTCCGAAAAGAGCCCCATCAACGCAACTGTTGCATCCCCACCATCTTAAACCGAATCGTCCATGTGAAAAGCCACTTCGTACGTGGGCGTAAGTGTGGCTATTTCTTAGCAACGCCAATAGCAGGTTTACCTGACAAATCGAATGGGCTTGATAGTTTGACGCCCCATGATGACTCAGTATGACAACTCAGTCGTGTTGGAGTTTTGAGGTCGTGTGTGCGGAGAGCGAAATACGAGAGTATGATAAAATAAAAAATTTTGGTCGCATCATTATGAGCTTGTGCGTGCCATTTTGCTCGAAAATATATACAATTCATAATCCCAATTATACACCCATTATCTTCAATGAACCATGATGCGGTGTAGAGGGTAAGCGCTCAGTCCCTCAAGGCAATGGCTGACGGGACGGTCAAATCTGACTGCAGGTATTCGGGACAACATCCTGAAGTCTGCTCAGTTCCCAATTCGCGAGTTCCCAATTCGCGAGTTCCCAATTCGCGAGTTCCCAATTCGCGAGTCTTCTACTCTAGCACATGATCTTTGTCAGGTGGTATTTGTGGCTTCACTGAATATCAGGCTTCGGGAAGTTTTCAGGTGGCATTTTGTTAATTCACTTCATGTGAAACCCTGTCCAAGTACGAGAACCCCGGTGCGGTGGAGGTCGAGTAATTTATGTCTCCTCATTCTTTCAACGGCACCTTAAGGCTGGTAGTCACAGTGCGGCGAAGTCCGAGAGCGAGGAATTCACGAAAACGATGTGGAACCCTTGTTATGTGTTTGGATTGGCAAGTTGCTACTCGAGTTTATTGACTCTGTAATATATCTGAGCCAGTACCCATCTTGGGGCTACGGTCGGTTTTCAGGTGGCCGAGGAATGGCCTGCGGTCGGCTAGAATAAATTGGCCTCGGCCGACCACTCACCATCTATTTTAACTCGCCTCTTATTGTGCTCCCTTCCACCACATGATTGACAGGTGAGTTATTTACGACGTGTGTTTCCCCTCATTCAATCTCTAACTCCATCATAATTGCAACTTCCAAAGAAAATGTGAAATCTCCTATTTTTCAGTAATGAAATAGTATTTTGCTAGAAAATATCTACAAAATACAGGTTAATTCACATATGTCTTTTATACCGATCAATAGGGAATAAATAGTACTACTTCCTTATGTGAGTTATGTCTCATAAATTTAGGATGTAGCATTGTATAATGAAAATTGAGGTACAACATTTTCCTCTATCATGACTGATGCTATACAAAATTTACTTATTTTTTGTTACTGTACAAAAATTGTAAATAAATAGCTTAATAACCAAGAAGAAGTTCAGATTTATATTTCATTTAAGAGCGGAGGCTATACGTAGTGAAATATCATATAGGGATCCAGCCGAGCCTGCCAGAGGTCTCGCGGTTCTCTATCAGAGGGCCTTAATATAAACTGTTAGTATGTATAAGTAATTCACGTTCCCCAGTTCGGCTTGACCGCTTGTAACTAGTGGTTGATGGAAAATATCTACAACTAGGAAGCTGATAGCGAAATGCCAGATAAATCATTTGAGAGCAAATATGACAACTAATGGACGTTTCAAAAATAATTGAAGTAGCCCTGTTCTTGAATACTAATGAGCACTAATTTCCTTCATCAGAACTGTTGCAATAAAAGTTTACATAATTTCGATACAGTGTGTTGATTTCAACTAAATAGCTAAATAAGTATGCAAATTTTCAGAGCGTTATTTCATTTACGAGTACTGCTTTGCGTGAAAGGTGAACTGAAGGAATCCCAGAGGAGTCAGCCAAAGCCAGTCCGAGTGCTAGCGGTTGTCAATCGGGACCATGAGACTTGTTCATTTCAAATCGAAGAAATAGATTATTTCCTATCCGATTTTATCATCACCGAACGATAGATATACTTTTCTGATCGCTCATTATAGAGATTCATATGCAATTTAAGAATAACATATTAGTGATCCATACATATATTCAACCTAGGCACTTCACTCTGGAGGATCCACAATTTTCCAATTGGCTTCGCGACAGGGATGGATGTTGGTCTTATTATAATTTAAATACGATATCTATCTTTAACATCTGGCTCCTGCGAGCAGATATAATGCGAAAACGAAATTCTCGTATAATGATAATAATAGCGGTTTCAGCGTTTATTAGGCCGTAGGCCTGTCGCCGATTCTTAACATCGCAGAACATTCACAGCTTGTTGCTGTCTCGAACTCGCTACTCACTGCTCCAATTCTACTGTGCTTAACCGCCCGGCCTCCTCGCCGATTCTGAAGAGAAACTGGCGCACAGAGCTGGGATCGAACCCACACCTTTCTGCTCCAATCTTGGTACTCTGAACTTTAACTACTGGGCCACCCTGCTAGAGGCTTCAGACGAAGAAACGCCCGGAAGAAGAAATATATTCTAAAATAATAATAAGATATTATATGAAATTATCCAAAATGTTATAACTGTTGTACATGTCATCCTGCCCTGAACCTCACCTCAATGCGGTATGTGCGCTCAGGTTGCAGTCCCGAAATGGTGTGGCAAAAGTGGTTTTCATTGTGAGCGCACCCAGACTTTTGAGTGAACTGATATTTTCCCGCACCAGTAACGCGGTAGCCGCTGATGACTGCCCTAGGAGGACAAGGTTTCTTCCAGCGCAGGCTGATGGAAGTGGACGTTGTAGAAAAGGTCAAGTTTTCTACGGGCCCCGGAGCTGACGGTGATTGAGAAAGAAACAGTCACTCCCAACGGTAAGTGGTAATTAGAAATCCAATAAAGACATGTCGAGCAAAATTTAGGTTTTGTTGACAGAAATTCTTGTTATACTCAAGGAAGCAATATATTTTAAATGCTTACTTTAAATCAACATTAGCGACGCTCCAGCATAGTTAGCTACCTGACTTTCTAAACCGTTTACCTGCATCATAAAGCAGGCAGCTACAGACAGTCTATTGACTGTCTGTCGTGTAACTGTTACTACGGATTATCTAATCTTGGATTAGATGCTATAGAAACTCGGTTCCCTCAATGATGTCTAGGGTCACTCAGCGGTTCCAACTGTCTCGCTCACCTCTGTCCGGCAATGTCTCGAACACTTCACACTTCTTGCTGTCTCCCCCCTCGTTGTAGGCGTACACGCACACTTCGTACTCAGTGTACGACTGCAGCTGCGTCAGCTGCCAGTCATGCCCGCTCATATTCAAAAATAGTTGAACAGTTTCGGGTTTCGTGTTGGAACAGCCCCTTCTGGTTTTATTCTGTGGAAAATACACATGCAATTTCGAATCTTTTCGTATTTAAACGTATGTAAAACTCAGTATTTTTTGGGTGGATGTCAACTCCTAATAGTTTTTCTTTATACGTGTTTAATTAACCAGATTCAGGGTATATGAGGTTCCCGAGGATAGGCTAAGAACCACAATTGATTTTATTTTATTTTCTATGTAAAATATACACTCATCAATAAGACTATAATTAAATAGTAAATACACTATTATACAATCAAGGAAATTGGAAACTATTCTACAAATTCCAAATTAATTGCATACGAAGCTACTTGATGCAGATGTAACGATGTTAGAAGAAATAGACAATGCAAGAAAGCTCGTGTTCCTCTTGTTAAAAATATACAACCGAATTTCTGTTAAGTATCTTCGCTGATTCTCACCACCAAAGTAACGTTGAAAAATTCTCCTCGTGGCGCAGTCCATGCCAAGCTCGCTGAGGTGACGTCAGGCACGATACTCAAGTTCGGGACGTCGGGAGCTGCACATAACGCGACATTGGCCCCGAGTAAACTTGGGAATAGTTTGTGCATAAGCATATTAAATAAGGCAGTGTTCTAATAAACATGAGAATAGTTCACAAGAAGATATATCCGCTGAGTCGAATTGTCACACAGAGTATACATGACGGGTTAATATTTCAACGCCATGAATGTTCCTCTAGGGCCGTAATCGAGGGTGGATGAGCATGTTCCCGGGACAAAAATTGTCACTTTTTACTGTGCTGGTTTTGAATCTGTTCTCGCATTTTGTTTTGAAGCCGATCTATGAAAGGTTGAAATTTAGTAGAGTCATTAAAATAGAGTGCGAATAGATAAACGTATAATACAAGTCTTTTAGTCTTGAATAACGGGAACTTAAGGAGTGAGCGAGGGCAGCGTGTGAACTGATGTGATGCGATGTGTAAACCCTTGGTATAAAGCCCAGGACACAACAGATAAGCATTGCTCACGCTTAAGCTCTGCTTCCCACTACACGGTGCCAAATTATCAAAACATCGCAACGTACACGTAGCGACTTATGTATTGCGTAAGTGCTGATATGAAGACGTAACTCTGGCGGTGGTATTATCAAAACATTAGCGCCGGAAGCTACGTATAAGAATTTGTGCGTGACAGTACGCCTGCTCGGAGGGGTCATAAGCGGAGTTACGTACAAATTTTGAATGGGTGAAGCGATTGGTAATCATTTAGTTACTAGTGTCTAAACTCTAGACTCTACTAGTATCTAGACTCTAGTATCATTTCAAGGTAAATACTCTAATTTTTATTTAGGAAAAATTTTTTCTACATCTAAGGAATTATATTAGTATTATGCATCTAATGAATTTTTTCTCAGTAAATGCCGATAGAAAACGATCAATTGGTGGAGCTAAACAATGAATAGATTATAGATAAAAATCTATAATCTATAGATATAAATATACATATAATATATATTGATCATTAATACTTGTTTTACTATCTTGAAACGGCATATGTCATTGATTTTTTAGAGTAAAAGCGTCTAGTATTCTTTAAAAAAGCTAAAAATGTTTAACTAACTGGAAACAAAAGCGTGGCGTTAGATGACACTTGATGCAAACGAAGGATGTAAGCCAGCTTCTGATTGGCTGATGTGCAACAAGGTTTGATAATGGCTACTCAGATAAGTCTTGCGTACGCAAGTTTTGATAATATCAAAATTAGGGTGTACTTACGCACTACGTATCTTCTCGTGCGTAAGTATAAAAAGTTACGAAGTTTTGGTAATCTGGGGTCGGATTATCAAAACTTCGTATCTAAAAGAGCTTCGTACGAAGCTCTTTTGAGCGTGCTGAAAAGTTGTGGTTTAATGTTGACATCAGAAGGTATCCCTTGCAACGCTGGGGAGAGTTAAGTGGCATTGATCATTGATGTTAGCACAACAAAATCCATTTCCCAGCAGTATTAACTATTATGTTTATTTCTCATCAAATAACACCATTTATCTTTTCCTCAGCATGGGTGTTATTGAGGTAGAAGCTAAACTGTCTTTGAAAGTTTAAGTTTTCTGCATCTTAATCTAGCCTAGCCTGAGTGACAGTAAACCAAACAATTTATATGTCTTTTGTAGCACAATTTAAATCTGGTCAAGAGACAGTTCAGCGCTAAAAATTTTATTCATAAACCATTAAAATATATGGAAATGCCTGCACTCTTTTCAATGAACGCATTACTTTATAAATCAACTGTTAAGTTCGTTATTGTGTTTAAATTGTTTCACCGCCAAAAGCCAATAACTTCATTGTTGGCTTCAGTGCCCACAACATTTATAAAAAAATATGGAATTTCTAAATTAATTTAGAAGCATAATTGAGTTATATTCCGACTTCAAACTATACTGTCATGTCTTTTAATCAATCATCTCCAATAGTTTCACGGTCTCAGAAGTTTTTCGTAACTTCGCTTACGCATTTTTCAAGCTGGCGAAAAGTCAAGTACTTTTTAGGTGTAACTTGGCGCAAAATTTTTTACCGTATAGGGGAAAAAATGTTTTAATACTGTAAGGACTACGCGTGCACAGCTGTACATAACGGCGTTTTGATAATCTAGCCCCAGTCCTTAAATCTCCAAGAAACAAGTAATGAGCTTAAAAAGAATCGGCGACAGGTCAACTCAGCCTATTCTTCAACGTCGATGTTGCTCTGTTATGTCGTGTTATGTTACGAGTGTTGTTTGGATAATATAATATACTACGCCGGGTTTACGAGCCACACCAGGGTAACCTTCTACTTAGCATGCAATACCACCCAGGAACAACAGGGCAAAAATGTTGCTTGTTTGGAATTAGTAGAATATTATGGAATTAAAGCGTACATTTTCAAAACGAGGTACATGTATTGCACAAGTAGAGATGAAAATGAACATATTCCTGGTGTGTCTCACCTGCTCGTCCCGTCATGACGATTGTTGCTCTAGCTGCAGAACAGTTGCTGTAGGAGTCAGCGGCACAGCTTTGTACCTGCGGTACGTTGAATGGATATTTTAGCCATCAATCGAAAGTATTCATTGAACGGGAATAGTGCAAGACGAACAATCGGTCAACTACTGTCTCACTAATTTAATTCTTTGTTTCTCATCTTCATGCGTGCAAAATCGAAGATAGTAAAATATTTTATCTAGAAAAATGTATCGACATCAGACTCGTGCTGCCTAACATTCTAATCGCATAATGGCATCACAATGACCCCCCGATCATCTCCCGAAGTAAATTGGGACCCGTGAGATTTTTGGTTATTTTTCATGTATTTCTATGACGAATGATATTCATTCTCAATAATAAATTTCATCATGAAGCTTCAGTAAGTAAGGGCTTGAAAGAGTCACTGCACGAATCACTTTACTTCAGTCCGGAAATTGTTATAATTTCAGGAAAACAAATGTTCGCTTGAATACGATCATAAATCGAAACTTTACTTCGTTCATTGGGTGAAGTGAAAGTATCTAAGCTAAAATTATTTGCTATCTATCCCGAAGAAGCCAGGTGCTCCGGCTAGTACATGGTAATCTAAACACCAGCATAAGAAACTACCTGTACAACGTGTAATGGCCTGAAATGGTCTCGGGGAAGGTTACCGTATTCGCTACCGATGTCCATAACCTTCACACATTAATAGCTAATCAGACTAATTTTGGGGTCCGGAATCTTGATGACCCTAGAATTTACGGAGTGATTCTCTTATTAAACCATCCATGAAGAAATTAGGAAAAAATAGGTTACTCAGAAAAGCAAACAGGACGCATCGTTGAGGTTCCCAACAATAACAAAAAGTTAAAGTACATGGTGTTCTTGTCTAAGCCTCACCTCAATGTTGTACATTTGTGCAGGTTGTAGACCAGTGATCGTGTGGCAAAAGAGTGCTTCGTTATTCATGCACTCGGACGTTTTGACGTAGTTAAGGGCTCGAGAGACTGTAACGCGGTAGCCGCTGATGAAGGCCATGGGAGGACAAGGTTTCCTCCACTGAAGGCTAATAGAACTGGATGATGGGTAGGAGATCAAAGCCTCCACAGGTGCAGGAGCTGGTTATAAGTGAAGAGTAAAATTTAGGATCCTCGGACACAGATTGGTGAAGCATACTTAAGGTTTTGTCGGTATTCAATGAATTCTTAGTGGATTTCGTCGAGTACCAGAAAATTCAAACTTTTATTTGGCTTCCTGCTCGGGTGTTCTGAGTTTAAATAAATATCATTCAGAGTTCTAATGAGAATTTAGGACCAGATTCAATGTGCAAGGGCAAGAAATTTTCATATAAATGGGCAATCAGTTCTAACGGGCCTGTTTTTTTTCAGCCAACATGCATGCAGACCGAAACAAGCAAACTGAACTAAAAAATAAGTTGAAGACACAGAGATAAATTTGAAGATATGGTTCAGGCTGAAGGCCAACGTGACTGTTAGTGTGCAATTCGAAGCTCGGGATTTATGAGTAGCGGTTATTGCAATAGAGAAAAGGATGTCTCGCGCACCTCTGTCCGGCAATGTCTCGAAAATTTGACACTTTTCGCCTTCCCCTCCCTCGTTGAATGCGTACACGCACACCTCGTACTCAGTGTACGCCTGCAGCTGCGACAGCTGCAAGTAGGGTCTGTTCTGACTGCTGAAATGTTGAACATTTTCCGGTTCCTTGAAGGCGCAACCTCGTGTTGATTTCCTCTGAGTGAAATATGTAGAAGTTATAAATTTTGTATAGATAACACAGTAGAGGCTGGTTGCATCAGTGTTAAATTTAAGGGAATTCATCAGTAGGAGGGCTAATTGCACATCTGAGGTAACCCCGCAAAATCGGCGCCTGAGCCCCTATGCAGGAACAAGTGAGGCAAGGAGTTACGGGCGCCGGTTTGTGGGCAATTTAAGGCGTCAGAACGCTTAGAGTGCGGCATCAGAACTCAATTATGCATGCGTCCGGTAGCTCGTAGCAGCGCAGTCACAAACACGGTGACGGCACTCAGTCCTGCAAGACGCGATCAGCAGCAGTTGACGCTAGTACAATGAAAGTAACAGGCTTCACTCATGCGTGTTGCAATCTACGGATTACGCTGTAGGCACAACAAAAGTAATCCGAGCTTCGATATTTTCTGTTCGGATTTTTTTAAAGGTAACTACTTTAAAGTCTCTTCAATCTTCGCTAGCTATCCTCTCATAGTAAAGATGAAGGAGGTCATGTTTGAATGTAGTCTATTGTTTTCAGGTCGTTAGTAAATTATTGTTCCTCTCGATTCTTAGTAGCAACAGATTGTTTATGCTCCAATCGTTTAATGCCTCCAATCAGCTAATAGTTTTCTAAATTGAATGTTTCAATTTGTGTAATGCTATACACTAAAATTTAATAATAAGGAAATAATTTTGTTTTGTCCAATCGTTTAATGCCTTCAATCAGCTAATAGTTTTCTAAATGAAATTTTCAATTTGTTTAATGCTATACACTAAAATTTAATAAGAAGGAAATAATTTTGTTTTGGCACCTCCGCAATTGAGTTACGTTATACGTGGCAAGAGATGACCTATATGAATGATGCGAGCAGCTATGGAGTAATACTTTTTTTGGACTTTAACGATTGCAACCTATCATATCACTATTATCTACCAAAAATTTCTGCTGTTTAATCTGTGAATGTTTCTTTAGAGTTATAAATTAAATTTACTATATGTATAAAAGTATGATCGAGGAGCCAGCAGTTACTTCCCACTGCGATCGAAATTTCAGCAGACTACCTTCAACCTATCTATTACACTCTTTTATCTCCTAACCGTTCCAGTGAGCTATCAGCTCTATTTAGCAAGTTCCAAAACAATTAAAACGACGCTCATTCTTGCTAAGATTATATAAAAAATATTTTAATGTGCAAGTGCTTATTAATGATCGATTTCATTGTACTGAAAACAACTCGGCAAAATATAAAATTTTGGTGATCGGCAAGTGTCAGCAGCGTACTTTCTCTGAAGTTAGTCAGGCATGAACTTTGACGGCACTTTTTAGGTCAAATATCTTGAAGTTTGAGAGATCACAGTTGTGGGTTGAGTTGATTTTAGATATTAAAATTTAAACTTTTCAATAGAAAGGGTGCCATAGCGGAGAAGTGCGAGAACTGGACTGCAACGAACGAGTCTGGTCTGCAACTATATATTGCATGGCCTTGTGCTCCCGATGGATTTGAACTAAGCGTTAGCCTGAGTTCCTCCGCGAGTCGCCACGGTATCCGCTGAACTATAATTAGCTGTCCTTTCTTCAGTTTAGACTAGTATTGGAGACCTAAAGCAGCCTTCACCCTAGCCTCGTTACCGTTGACTTTTCCTTTCTACATGTGACCCACACTCGGATCGTGACTGATCTGCTCAGTTCATCAACAAGTCCGATACAAAATACGTAATTTTCCACGACAGCGATAGGGTTTCCTTCTGAAGATATCTCTTCTCTTTGCGGACTGCTATGACAATGAAAACAAGTCTAATCCTTTATTATTGTAATGATTTTTAGTTCTAGAAATTTTGAAGCAGATGTTCTGGCAACATCGACCAAAGTATTGGATGGACTTGTCTTACGGTTTGGCCATTCGTTGATCCTTACTGAAGACAGCCGCTTGTGTTCTTGCTCTTGGTAAGCGTCTAGGTTCTATAATTTGTAATAGAATAACTGTGAGAATATGTTCAGAATATTGTGTACTTATCTAGTTATTAGTGTTTAATTAATTTAATGAAATGCGTGTTTATTTGTAGGAGAACTTCCCTACTCTGCTCTGTAAAGCAGAGTCGAGCTGCTTTAAATTTATGAAAAATAATTACTAAAACATTTATAATTCATTCGAGTGATCGGGTAGGTTTTCAAACGATAGAATTTATAACCGACCAAATTGCTTAAATTGTGTCATTCCCTTAGTTTTATTATAAATTATTCCCTGCGTCCCACAATCACCTAAGTTACGCGATTCTCGCATTAGCATCACTTTATAAACTGAAACACCAAATAAACTGATTCACTTCGTTGAACGAAATTATGGGACTCGCAAGATCTCATTTTGCCAAATTTCGTCTCGCAACGAAACCTAAGCAAACGCGGCAAAACTATTACATAAACTGATGCTGCACTTGTAGGGTAAAAATTTCTAGCACTTGACGATGAACTTTTAATATGCATCCCTCTTCTTATAGTTAGTCAAATGATCCCAGGCCATTGCGCACAAGGTCGGTCAATATGAAATAACATTGAATAATATACGTACCGAAATAAGGTTCAAAAATTTAACTTTCATGCCAAAGAAAACCTTGCATTAATCATATCAATACAGCCGCAGATTTGAGAAAGGTCAGCCTAATATACGTAGTCCTAGCTCTATTAACTGGATACATATTGCCATCCTACCATATTGAGAGCTCCAAAATACAACATAAAGGTCGTTAACAGAAATCGAAGAAATAAGAAATAATGTGCAAACAGTAAAGTTATCAGGAAGCCCTTCATAGCGGTGAGATGACTTCTATTGATGAGGAGCTTCTTTAAAATGAGCCGAAAATAAGTTCGGGATGTAATCGGACAGGCTCATTTTATCTTTGTACATTCTCACAAAATTTGAATTGGATCATGGTGCACGGAATTCAGTTCGTCGTTAAAGATTACTCAGAGCGCGTGAAGTCGATCTTCTCAACAGGCTCTTTTGGGCGGTTAGGTTAGGTATTTTCCATTATGCATGATCCCTCAGTTACTCTCAGTCACTTGATTGCAAGCCCTTGTTGCCTTGGGTGTCTATATTCCTGAATTTATGATCAATATTCAGTTAAGCCCTGGCATCGGCCGCTCTTCGTCGATGGGCAACAGTCGCTTGACTCGCATCTCCTCCAAAGTAGCTCTTTCATCCTTGGTAAGAACAGATTTTCACTTGGCGTCCAAATGGAAGGTGTTGCGAGCTCTTTTGTGAGAATTTAATGACATAGTTGTAAACTTAATTGCCCATCAAATAATCGATAAGCATCAAGCATGGCTATTCACTGAAAAACTGTGCCTCCGGAGATAAAATGTGTCGAAGCAGGATAATATTTCTGAATAATTAGTGTACATGTTAAAGATTAATGTCAAGTATCCGTTGTTTAAAAGACTTTCCTGAAAACGGTAACTGTCCAATGATACATATAATGTTACCTCTACTTAGAATATAGTAATTGAAGCCACTCAAATTTACATACATCTGTGGACAAAATCGTATCGACAGTCAAATAAACAGAGCTTAGCACATACTACAGCTTTAGCGGAATTCAGACATGTAGTTCCCATAGGCATGTAGTCCCAATCCGATTAAATCATTCTGATCATATATATAGTATAACTTCGTCATTGTCGATCAAAGAAATTAGGACTGATCGAGCGTCTCAGCTTCCCAATCGCCAGATGTCTTCAAAAATTTGCCGACGCATCTCAAGCGTCTCTTCACGGCAGTTGTTGCACTTGCAGTTAGTATACTTTTACTGCGGAGGAGCGAAGTCTTGCTGCTTCCTATTAGTGTAGGGCAGTCCTCGCTGACGTCTGGTCTTGCGCAGGCAGCCACGCGGTCTTCGCAAAGACGTAAGCAGTTCTGCCACCTGATGAACCGGTTCATGTCCTCCACGAGATCGAGGTGAAATTCTCGTGCTTCGGCAGAAGTACCATGCACTGTTTCTGCAATAGAGACATTAGTGTTGTATTTTGTATCAATGGAGTCATACATGCACTGTTTCTGCAATAGAGACATTAGTGTTGTATTTTGTATCAATGGAGTCATACCTAGAAAATATCGCAGACTAAAAACGAAGCGAAAGTTGTATTCTTAAGGCCCGTTCACACTAGCGGCAACACACGAGAGTCAAGTGCATCAAAGCGCATGCAGAGGCGCTTGTTACATGCGTGAAATTAACGTTATCCAAATATCAGAATTCGATTTGAAGTATATTAGCCTATTTCATTTTTTATGCTATCCGCTCCACACTGCGAATTAACTCTACCAAACTAAACTTTACCGAATAAAAAATAATACAATGAATAGGCTAAAATTTAAATGAAACTTTCTAATCAGCGGCATGAAGTCGTGAAATAAAATTAATAAAATTCAAAAATGGTTATAGGAACGCGTCCACGACCCGGTTAACATTCGAGCTCATTGACCTAGAGCAGGGGTCACCAAACTACGGCCCGCGGGCCAAATCCGGCCCGCGACGTCAGTTCATCAGGCCCGTCAACGGTACTTAATTTACTTGATAAAACGGTTGGAACACGAGATGTGATACAATCTAAATTTTATATTTATAATACTAGGAAATCTTTGCGCGTGCGGAGACCTCCTGACCGCTATGTGCCAGTTGAACTACAGTTGGAGCTCATTGATTTGCAAGCAAATGACTTTTTGAAGGAGAAGCACAGAGTAGGAAAACTTGTCGAATTTTGCCGCTGCTTACCTGATCCTGAGTTTCCGAAATTGAAGAAATTTGCCGCTGGCATATAGCATCAGTGTTTGGAACAACTTACGTAGTATGTCTGTTATCAAACATTTTCAAAAATGAAGTATGCGAAGTCAACACGTCGAACGAGATTGACTGATGAACATTTTAAAATAATACTCGAGATTGGATGCAGCAATTCCAAACCAAACATTGATGATATCTTGAAAACCAAACATCAATTTCACAAATCT